CAACTCTACTCAGCTTTACTTGACTCCATTGCGTTTCCATTAAGTATCTGGAACGATATCCTACCAACCTACCCACAACAAACCAGTGTCTGGGGAACTCCTTGGTAACACTCTGCCAATCAATGTCAGTTTGGTCACTTCCAGCACGGCCTGGATAGAGCCAGGGCCAAGAGGGACTAAAGAAAGACCTGGTACTGGTTATAAACAGGGCCAGTGGAAACACTCCCAATCAGGGGAGAGTAGAGAATGGGACAAGTAAGGCTGCAGGACAAGGGTTTGCTACAACTATACATACATATATCTCCTATAATAAATGATCAAGTATCTTCTTTACAGTTTATCCAGTGCAGTCCTGGCTTTCTGTGAGGAGCGGCTTTAAAATGGAAAAAGCATGTGTCAAAAGTTATGTCTGTTTTGCAATTAGACGAAAATCAGCAGAGAATAAATTGAATAAAGTGCTAATTTCTCTATTATGAGATCAATAAAGTTCCTTTTATCTTAATTAATATAAGATACAGATGATGTGTGTGTATCAAAATGGTAAACTTTGACTTAATTTTGAGTGTCCTAATACTTTCCATTAACTATCAGTGATCTTAGGCTGTTGTTAGTAAAGGATTGAGATAAGATAAATAAGTTACTACCACAAAGAGATGCATAAATCATGAAAACGTTTATATTCTGTTCATACGATTTTTCCACTTACTTTTTCGCCCGTGTGGAGAGGTTTCACCGCAATTCAGTCCTTCGTCTCGGAGCAGGAAAAACAGCCCGACTTTCTCAGCTCCTGACGCGGGGAAAGGCCACACCAACCCGGCTTATCTCCACTCAGGCAGCCCGCTGGCTCACGGAGCTGTATGAAACATGTTTTAATCTCCTTCAATTGTGTTTTAATACTGAGGAAACGGAGCAGCTTTTGAAGTCCCAAAAGTTTCGCGGAGGACTCCCGGAGCTGACGTCGCCACGCTGCAGACTTCACCCCGACAGAGTCCCTCCTCCCGCGGGGGGGACAGCGCCAGAGACCGCCCCCCCTGTCCGGAGCCTCCGCTGCGGGGCAGGGTGGACCAGTTTACAGGGGAAATAAGCGAATGGGCCCCAGTAAAAGAAGCTTAAAAACAGTTATTTAAAATGCATTTAAAGCTGGAGTTCCTGACTTTCTCCCTTGTTAATAACACGTCTTTGTTCCAACAGAAAAAGTGAAAGTAAATGTTGTGAACTAAACAGACCACAACACGCTGTTTACGTCAAAATACTGTTATATTTAGCATATTTGTGTCTGACGCTTTGCCTGAGCGCTGATTGGCTGTGAGGGGGTGGTATCTCTCTCTGGTCTCTCTCACTCTTTAATACAACTAGATAGAACCAACTGTTTAGAGCCAAGAATTAGTGATCTTATTATTAGTTAGTTCCTTTGATGTGGTTTGAAGGTCGGGTACCCCAGCTTTAATGAAAGCTCACCAACTCTCCAAATCATACCTTTTCCCTTTTCATGTCGACTTAAATCTTAAAGAGACACTCAAAGTTATTTGCAATAATATATTTTAAAAGTAAAAGAAAACTTGGTTCAAAATCTCTAAACCATAGACTGTACAATGAACACGCAGATCTGGCAACTCTGAAAACGCGGTCAAAATAACAAAAGAGAGTTGGACACGGCCTCATCTGCATCTGAGCCGTTGGTTTGAGGGGGCGGGGGTCTTCATGATAAACTAATATAAGATAAGATAAACCTTTATTCGGCTCACAGTGGAGACATTTCAGTGTCATCGTTGCGCACATTACAGCAGAGAAAGGAAATAAGAGCACTCGGATTGCACACATCAAATACGTCTGTTATTTAAGACAATAAAATTAAGATAAAGAATAAAATAAAATAAGATAAACTCTGGGGCTATAATTGCACTTGGTTCAGAAGTATTTACAGATGTCTATATTGTACTTTAGCAGTGGAGAATATGAATATGAACAGAATAAGCATCAAAAATAATGTCATGTTATTATTATTATTAAATACCAGATAAATATGTAGTAGTAGTAGTGACAAAGTAGTAGTGACAAAGTTACTAGTGAATTATCAGTGACACTTACACAGGGTCGTTTCACTTTGTGTCTTTAGTGCAGAGCTGCCAAAGTCATTCTTTCCAGGAGTCGAAAATGTCAAATAAAAACTTTTTTGTTTAACATTATGAAGTTATTTGAAAAAATTATTGAACCGAAACTGGAGCAAAGTCAAAGAAGGCTGTAATTGTAGATTGAGAGAACTTTTTAGCATGTATTATGTTTCAATTCAATTTGATTTATTTCTCTCACCCTTGCTAAGAAAATGCACAGGCCATACATAACCAGACCCAAAATATACTGTTCCATCGAGCTGTGAGTATGGGCAGACAGCCATGTCTTGGTAGATGTGCAGTTGTGCCATACTCTTTCCTTTCCCGGATGATTCTGCCATGTATCCTACACATCTATAGTTCTAATGATCTATTGATGCATGACCACTCCACAAACCTGACTCGTACTCACCTGTTAATTTCCATTCATTACTTTAATTATTGCTTTCCCCATAACTTTCCACACAGAGATGACAACTTCATGCCAAACTGTGGAGTAGCCCAAGTATTCAAAATATATATCAAGTCTCCACTCACTACTGCTGATCATAAAAGACTATTTCAATTCCAAAAGCTTTCCTCAAACACAGGTCTTGTTAAACTTGCAGATTTGTAACAACAATCATCGGATAACAGGTCAGAGGTCAGCAACTGGTGCCACGAGGCCGACAGAAGAACAGATGCTGGATTTACATAACAACAGTCTGTGAGCAGAGTGGAGCGTGTCTCATTATCACATCATTACATAGACTTAAGACCGGTTTCAACAACGAGGTCGTGCCGCTTTTCTCAGAATTATGTAAATTACTACGTATGTATTTAGGGAAAAAAACCTGGATCTTCAGCCTCAGTCCTGGATGTACAGAAAGACCAGAGAGAGACCAGATATAAGAGAGGGACTAAATAGATAATCTGCATTGCCCAGTAACAGTTCCAAAACATCACTGCTTGAGAGATCTGGATGGAAGAATGGGCCAAAATACCAGTGTGTGGACATGTGATGTGCCCTGTCATTGCCCACAAAAGTTACATTACACAGTATTGAGCTGAACTTTTGTTGTTATTGACCAAATACTTACTTTCTAACCCTAACCCTGACTTTAAGTGTGACAACTTACACAATCTGTATCTGATTAAAAAAACAAAACTCAAATCCTTCTGCTCGTTCTTCCTTCAGTGGAACAAACAAAACACAAGTATGGTTTTGATTTTGGTGATTGCACAACTGTGAGAATGCTGTTGTCGGCCCCGCCCTTTCTGAACATGAGCTACAGTAATGTATTCAAATGAGACACAGATCAGAGACAGAGCAGTGGCTGTGATCCGGACGAGAGCGTGACGAGGGCTGTCTGTTTGTGGACAAGGCAAAAGACACATAAGAAAATGCATTGTTCTACAGCAGGAGTCCCGATCTATATCCTGTTCTAACCCCAACCCTGGGAGCAATATGGGCCTCCCCAAGGTTGCTCACTATTTCCCTCACTGGGTTATTGAGTGGTTCCTTGCTGATACAGGAGGGTCTAAGCCAAGGAGTTTTCTGGACAGTGGTCATTCTGCTCCCAATGGACAAATGACTTTTATGAGTTTGTTATTACTGCATTTCCTGTTTTTCGAACTGTTTGATTCTCTGATTTGTTGTTGAGGAATCGGAGACTGCTGCTGTTGTGATTTAGGACAATACACAAATGCATGAAATTGAATTGAAACAGTCCTGAAACATTTGGTCGTTGCTTCTTTCCTGGTCTGAGTTTGACGGGGGGCTGAGCAGATGCAGGAAGTTTGTAACCCGCTCCAGATGTGAGAGGCCAAACCCAACATCCTCCTCCCCCCTCCTCCCCACACTAGGGTTTTAAAACTATACAAAAAATACAACAACGAAAAAGTATGTGATATGAAATAAATTATATATGGGAAAGTCAAAAAGTAGAGTCTAAGGACAGGCGAAGATCTGGGACACTTGAATTTTCTTTTACTGTCCCTGTAGGGACAGTAAAGCCACCAGGGCCTCTTTCAGCAGTGGTCTCCCTAGTACAGAGACCAGAGAGGATATAGACCAGAGAGAGAGAGACAGAGACAGAGAGACAGAGACAGAGACACACACAGAGAGAGAGAGAGAGAGAGACCAGAGAGAGAGAGAGAGACCAGATATGTATATACAGTATAGAGAGAGAGACCAAATATAGATAGAGAGGATATAGACCAGAGAGACAAAAGAGAGACACCAGATATAGACCAGAGAGAGAGATGAGGGAGAGACCAGAGAGAGAGACCAGCGAGACCAGAGAGAGAAAGACCAAATATAGACCAGATAAAGATCAGAGAGAGACCAGAGACCCCAGAGAGGGAGACCAGAGAGGGAGACCCGAGAGAAACCCGAGAAAGACCCAAGAGAGACCCGAGAGAGACCCGAGAGACCAGAGAGAGACCAGAGAGAGACCAGAGCCGTAGTACAGCATCCGGGGGCCCATCTCCAGATGTTGATGCTCTTGGTCAGGATCGGAGCAGAAGGATTTTGGACACAGATCTAGGTCTGGTGTGAAAGGGGCTTCACGTCTCCTCGAGCCTCAAGTGGCCAAACAGATGAACTACAACACCAGCCTTTTGTTCATTTATTTATAGGAAATAATGTTTTTACAGTGAAAGTAATAAAATATGATGAACATCTCCACACGTTTCAAACGGAATAATGTCTTTATGTCACTGTGTCTACGCTGGACTTTATAATAACAGTGGGTGCTTAGTTCTAGTTGTTTCCACACGTAATTCACTCAGATGTTCTCAGAGCGCACCAGGCAGGTTCCAGTCGGTATCTCCAGACTGAGAGTTAAAAACATCTGAACCGGTCACACAGATACAGGAGCCTGTTCTTCCACCTTTAAAACCCGGCTGTCACTCGTCCTCGTCTTCATCGATCACCAGTTTCCGCCTGCGTTTGACTGGAGCAGACAGGTCCGAGTCCGAGTCCGAGTCCACCAGAGCCTCTGTCTTCATGGAAATGGGGGCGGGGACCTCATCATCTGTGTGAGAAGTCAAAGCAGCGTATGTTGAACGTGCAATAATAACTTGAGTTTTAGCTCAATTCTTCAGGGTTAGTATACAAAAAGTACAACAGAAAAGAAAATGTATGTGATAGATACAAAATGTCTGGAAGTCAAAAAGTAGGGAATTTCTTCTAGGGAAATGTGTCCTCTACATCTGACTGAACATTTGAACATTCTAATGCCACTAGGGCCTCTGTCAGACCAGAGAGGGAGACCAGAGAGGGAGACCAGAGAGGGACCAGAGAGAGAGACCAGAAAGAGGAACCCGAGAGGGAGACTAGAGAGAGAGACCATAGAGAGAGACCATAGAGAGAGACCAGAGAGAGAGAGACCAGAGAGAGAGAGACCAGAGAGAGAGAGACCAGAGAGAGAGACCAGAGAGAGAGAGACCAGAGAGGGAGAGACCAGAGAGGGAGACCAGAGAGAGAGACCAGAGAGAGAGACCAGAGAGAGAGACCAGAGAGAGAGACCAGAGAGAGAGACCAGAGAGAGAGACCAGAGAGAGAGACCAGAGAGGGAGACCAGAGAGGGAGACCATAGAGAGAGACCAGAGAGGGAGACCAGAGAGGGAGACCATAGAGAGAGACAGGAGGGAGACCAGAGAGGGAGACCAGAGAGGGAGACCAGAGAGAGAGACCAGAGAGAGAGACCAGAGAGGGAGACCATAGAGAGAGACAGGAGGGAGACCAGAGAGGGAGACCAGAGAGGGAGACCAGAGAGGGAGACCAGAGAGGGAGACCAGAGAGGGAGACCAGAGAGAGAGACCAGAGAGAGAGACCAGAGAGAGAGACCAGAGAGGGAGACCAGAGAGGGAGACCATATAGAGAGACAGGAGGGAGACCAGAGAGGGAGACCAGAGAGAGAGACCAGAGAGAGAGACCAGAGAGAGAGACCAGAGAGGGAGACCATAGAGAGAGACAGGAGGGAGACCAGAGAGGGAGACCAGAATAAAAAAAAACATGTCAACATCAAACAATCTAATAATTTTACCGTTTTCTTTGTCATTGTCGTTGTCATCGTCTAGAACTCTTCTCCTTTTGGCTGAAGTCTTTGCTCGAGGTCTGAGGGAAACACAAACAGCTCATCTTTGCTGACAAACTAAAGCACGATTCCCACCAGCTCTACTTGTCCCTACTCTACTCTACTCTACCTGGTTTCCATTACACTTAGCATCTGGTACAGTCCAGCAGCACTCTGGCCAATCACTGTCAGTTAGAACACTTTAGCACTAGCTCCGCCTGGAAAGAACCAGGACCAAGAGGGACTAAAGAAGGACCTGGTACTGGTTAAACAGGCCCGAGGGAAACGCTTGCAATCAGGGAGAGTTGAGTAGAGTAGACTCGAGAAGCACTGGTGGAAACAGGGCTAATGTGGAAATACATTAAAGCAAAGGTCAGGAACCTACGGCTGGGGAGCAGGATGTGGCTCTCAGACACTTTTTACTCGACATCAATAGTAAATGTCAATAAACAAAAGAAGACATTCTGATACTAATATTATACTCAAATATCCGTTTTTATTTTCAAAATTCACAGTAAAAAACATAGCTCACACTGAAATGCATTTTAAAGTATGAGACTGTTTGGGCTCACTCTGCTATATAAAAGGTGGCCGACCTCTGCATTAAAAGGCATGAAATATAAAAGATCGTACTTTTCAGATGAAACGTTGAGTTCTTCTAAAGGACCTGTGTTTGAAGCTGGAGCTGGAAAGAGACAAAGCAACGCAGTTAACACGAGAGACAGAAATATGAACCAAGTTTATTTAAAGTTACAGTGCCTTGCGAAAGTATTCGGCCCCCTTGAACCTTTCAACATTTCGCCACATTTCAGGCTTCAAACAAAGATATAAAATTTAATTTTTTTTCATGAATCAACAACAAGTGGGACAAAATTGTGAAGTGGAACGAAATTTATTGGATAATTTAAACTTTTTAACAAATAAAAAACTGAAAAGTGGGGCGTGCAATATTATTCGGCCCCTTTACTTTCAGTGCAGCAAACTCACTCCAGAAGTTCAGTGAGGATCTTTGAATGATCCAATGTTGTCCTAAATGACTGATGATGATAAATAGAATGCTCCTGTGTGTAATCAAGTCTCCGTATAAATGCACCTGCTCTTTGATAGTCTCAGGGTTCTGTTTAAAGCGCAGAGAGAACCATGAAGACAAAGGAACACACCAGGCAGGTCCGAGATACTGTTGTGGAGAAGTTTAAAGCCGGATTTGGATACAAAAAGATTTCCCAAGCTTTAAACATCTCAAGGAGCACTGTGCAAGAAATTATATTGAAATGGAAGGAGTATCAGACCACTGCAAATCTACCAAGACCCGGCTGTCCCTCCAAACTTTCATCTCAAACAAGGAGAAGACTGATCAGAGATGCAGCCAAGAGGCCCATGATCACTCTGGATGAACTGCAGATAACTACAGCTGAGGTGGGGGAGTCTGTCCATAGGACAACAATCTGGCCTTTATGGAAGAGTGGCAAGAAGAAAGCCATTTCTCAAAGATATTATTGTTGTTTAAAGTTTGCCACAAGCCACCTGGGAGACACACCAAACATGTGGAAGAAGGTGCTCTGGTCAGATGAAACCAAAATCGAACTTTTTGGCCATAATGCAAAACGATATGTTTGGCGTAAAAGCAACACAGCTCATCACCCTGAACACACCATCCCCACTGTCAAACATGGTGGTGGCAGCATCATGCTTTGGGCCTGCTTTTCTTCAGCAGGGACAGGGGAGATGGCTAAAATTGATGGGAAGATGGATGGAGCCAAATACAGGACCATTCTGGAAGAAAACCTGTTGGAGTCTGCAAAAGACCTGAGACTGGGACGGAGATTTATCTTCCAACAGGACAGTGATCCAAAACATAAAGCCATATCTACAATGGAATGGTTCACAAATAGACGTATCCAGGTGTTAGAATGGCCAAGTCAAAGTCCAGACCTGAATCCAATCGAGAATCTGTGGAAAGAGCTGAAGACTGCTGTTCACAAACGCTCTCCATCCAACCTCACTGAGCTCGAGCTGTTTTGCAAGGAAGAATTCCAGTCTCTCGATGTGCAAAACTGATAGAAACATACCCCAAGCGACTTACAGCTGTAATTGCAGCAAAAGGTGGCGCTACAAAGTATTAGCGCAAGGGGGCCGAATAATATTGCACGTCCCACTTTTCAGTTTTTTATTTGTTAAAAAAGTTTAAATTATCCAATACATTTTGTTCCACTTCAAGATTGTGTCCCACTTGTTGATTCTTGACAAAACATTTAATTTTTATATCTTTATGTTTGAAGCCTGAAATGCAGCGAAATGTTGAAAGGTTCAAGGGGGCCGAATACCTTCGCAAGGCACTGTATAGCATAGTTCATACAAAAGGCAACTCAAATTGCTAAACAAAACATTTTCATTAAATCGAATAAATAATTACAGTGCATTAAAAGAGAAGACACAATCCTTCAGTTGTATGCAGCTGTTTTAACCTGGATTTGAACATTGTCAGAAGAAACCCGTCTCACATTTTAGAAAGACTTTTCCAGATTTTGCTGCATAAATCTGAAATGCAGCCTCCTCATGTTTAGTCCTGACTCAGGGAAACGCAGTTCAAACTAGAGACAGAAACACAAGAAAAGAGTCTACAAAGGGCCAGTCTTCACCTAAAGCCAAACCCCCTTTGAAGCTTGTTTTTATCACAGAGAGAGTCTTGTAAAAGTCTTATGGTTTGAAAGTTCAGGACCCCAGCTTTAAGGTCCAGTGAAGGTCCTCGTGTTTACAGCCGCCTCCTCACACCTTGGTCAGAGAGACTGGAGCGGTGACTTATGGGGATCATAGGACTAAAAGGACTCATAACGAGGAGTGTTTCGCGTCAGGTCAGAACAATGTCCGTTTAAAAATATGGATAAAAGGGATAGAGCTAAAAACAACACCAGGTCTGTGTTTGATGAGGGGGAGTGTAAATGTCTCTCACCCGCATCATCAGAGCTCTGGTGCTTCCTCTTCCTCTCCAGCAGCAGAGCTCTGAGGGCCTGGCTCCTCTGCTCACTGGACGACTTGGAGTCCTGGTCTGGGCTCTGGTCTGGGCTCTGGTCTGGTCCCTGGTCAGGTCCCTCTGTGGAGCCGCTGGGGCCGCCCTCTCCCCCTCCCTCCTCAGTTGGGCTGAGTGAAGCTGCTGCCTGGCGGAGCTGAGAGGGGCTCATCTGAGCTGGGATCCTCCAGAAGGACTCCTGTGAACCAACCGCCATAGATAAATAGATAAATGTGCAGCTCCGTTTCAAACTGTTATCATCAAAGTTACTTAAACAAGTTACTTTACAGAGGATAGGAGCGAGGAGAGAAGAGGAGAGAGGAGAGAGAGGAGAGAGAGGATACTAGCGAGGAGAGAAGAGGAGAGAGGAGAGAGAGGATACTAGCGAGGAGAGAAGAGGAGAGAGGAGAGAGAGGATACTAGCGAGTAGGGTTGGGCGATATGGGCCTCAGCATGTATCACGATTTTTGTTGGTATGTATCACGATATGACGATATGATCATTTTAACAAAGCCTCATATAAAAGCTATAAAAACTTAGCACTGATAATTTTAAACACACTTGCCTCAAAGTGCATTTACTGATTTATTGGCAGCAAAATGTGTAATACAGCTATTGTATATAAAACGTATTAACAAAACTGAATTGTAGAGAATTCTGTTTTGTACATACTGAAAATTGCAGGCAACATGTTCAAAGGTGAACATTTGTAATTTGTAAAATATAAAATAATATAAAAAATATAAAAATTTGTAAAATATATAAAGTTTGTCCTTTGTAATATAAAAAGTGTAGCCATCCATCCATTTTCTACCCTTTAATGCATTTCTGGGTCAGGGGGGTGGCAGTCAGAGATGCCACCCAAGTCTCATAGCACCAGCCCCTCACTGACCCTCTGCAGGTGGTGAGTCCACAGGAGGACGGCTGCTCTCTGAGTGTGAGCATAGCCTTGATCTTTCAGTGGGGGCTTTGGGCAAAGTGGGGTTAAGTGTCTTGCCCAAGGACACAACGACAGCAGTCATCAGTGGGAGTCGGTGGAGAAGGTGCAGAGGTGGGAAATGAACCCACGACCTTCTGGCCTTAAGGCTAATGCTCTACCAACTGAGCTACTGTCGCCCCAAAAAGTGTAGCATTATCAAATAATTATTTGATCACTTTGGCTTATGTTTCCTAATCCCAATATAGTCAAAATGATCAAATACTGTATATATTTTTTGTATCCTTTTGCGTTTCTATAATTATGTAATTATAACTTATTTGTAATTATATTGCAATGTAGACAAACACATGCATTGAAGTAAAATGAATGACAGTAAACAGTAAATAAAGCTTACCAATGGCACTATGAGAGAGAGAGAGAGAGCGCGAGTGTCCGAAGCAAGCCACTCGAGTCCAGTTGTTTAGGGCAGCTGCTTTCACAACATTAGATCCACTGTCGATAGTTACACACAATTGCGTCTTTTTATCTAGTTCCCAAACTACTCCCATATGTTTGAGGTAGCTCCGCGTTTTGGCACAATGTCTTCTACAATCTGCATGTCTTCACCATGGTCTTCACCGCCGCACTCAGCCATGTTTGCTCTCTGCTCTGTTGTTGTTGTCCCTGCACGCCGCTCTGCTACACGTGTCGCGCAGATGCATCATCAAAGTGCGCCGCACACAAACGTGTCTTCCGCTCGCTGTTTTCAGTGTTAAATGATCGTTTTCACCGGTATAAGGCATTTTCTTATCATTTAATTTACTTATACCGGTATACCGGTACAACTAAAATATCGCCCAACCCTACTAGCGAGGAGAGAAGAGGAGAGAGGAGAGGGGGAGGGTGAGAGGAGAGAGAGGAGAGAGAGGATACTAGCGAGGAGAGAAGAGGAGAGAGGAGAGAGGGGATATTAGCGAGGAGAGAAGAGGAGAGAGGAGAGGGGGAGGGTGAGAGGAGAGAGAGGAGAGAGAGGATACTAGCGAGGAGAGAAGAGGAGAGAGAGGATACTAGCGAGGAGAGAAGAGGAGAGAGGAGAGGGGGAGGAGAGAGAGAAGAGGAGAGAGGGAGAGAGAGTGAAGAGAGGAGAGGAGAGAAGAGTGGAGAAAAGAGAGATAGGAGAGGGGTGAGAGGAGAGAAGAGAGAGAAGAGAGGAGAAAAAAGGAAAGGAGAGAGAGAGAGAAAAAAGAGAGGAGAGAACAGGAGAGAGGGGAGAGAAGAGAGAGAGAAGAGAGGAGGAGAGAGGAGAGAGCCATCCATATCAAATGCTTATATTTTTTTTTTAACAGAGACTGAAAACAGAGAAAGCAGGAATCAAGCATTCGGGGAAAGTTTGTTTACATCCCATAATTTGTTTCTGTAAGTTTTTATCACAAAGGTTTTTTGACCAAATCATTTTTTATTGAATTTAAATGTTTTATATATTTCAAAGAACAAAGAGTGATATAAAAAAAAAACTGTTTAAGAGCCAGGAACAAGTGACATGGATTTGATTTGATAGCTCCTCTTTCTCCATTCTCCATCTATTCTCACTCTACTCTCTTCTCTCTCCTCCTCGTCCCAATCCCCCCTCTTCTCTTCTTTCACTTCTCTTCTCTCTCTTTATTTAATTTGATTTATTTCTATGAGCAACATGAGTGATAGAAGGAAACTGTTTCGGAGCTAGGAACTAGTGACATGGATATTATTAGCTGGCTCCATCGTCTCCATGTTTTGAAATTGAGGTAGCTTAGCTTTAAAAGAGCGCCCCGGGTTTGTGAACAGGACGTCACCTGTTCGTCGGCCGGAGACCTCAGCCCGATCTTCTTCAGCAGTCTCTGGAAGCTCCGGTCCTCCATGGCCTCCTCGTTATCCTCAGTGAGCGGGACGAGCGGGACCGGCTGAGAGACGCCTGGACACAAATATGACACGACATCCAGACCAGGTCAAAACACGGAGTCAACGCTCTGGTCCCCCTTCTCTACTTCTTTCTCTCTAGTACCCCTTCTCCCTCTCTCTCTCTGGACTCTCCCGCTCTCTCTCTGGTCTCTCCCTCTCTCTGGTCTCTTCCCCTCTCTCTGGTCTCTCCCCTTCTCTCTGGTCTCTCTCCCCAGGATTGATCAAGTATTTACCGTCCTCCTCTCTGTAGTTGGCTGTTTTGTGAAGGCAGTTCTGGAGCCACAGGACCGGTCCTGACATGCCTGATGACACAAACAACAACATTCAAATCACTACAGATAATTATGGAGCACAAGTGTCGGTGTTGAAATACAGACGCCCAGAGTCACCCAGAGGCGATGACAGAAGGTACAGCAGGCGTCTCTGTGGAGTCTTTCAAATCACGAGACCTAAAGTCACACATTTTACAGTCGTTTAATATTAGTCAGACACGAGGCCTTTATGGACCAGTGGTAAAGTAGAGTAGGAGGAGATTTCACTAAAAAGTAAGTAAGTAATCTTTATTTATATACAGTAGCACACTTTATACAGAATTAAGTCAACCAATGCACTTTACAATTGTTGAGGGTTCAGATATTTTCCATTCACTCCACACACTTTGATGGTGTTGGCCCCAAAGCAACACCATCCATTCACACCTATTATACACGTTTTGAGTGGTAAGGGAATCCGCAGCACCTGGAGGAAACCTACGGAGACACTGGGAGAACATACAACAGGTTTTGATTATTGCCTTTCCTCACCGCTGTGTCGGAGAGCGCGGGCCGCAGCGTTCACATCGGTGCGCTTTGCTGACGTCATGGCACCGCTGCTCACTCGACCTCTGCGTGGGGACTCCTCCGTGAACCTTCCTCCTCCCTCCTCATCATCCTCATCGTCATCACTATCAGACTCCGCCTCCTCAGGATCAGACTGTGCCTCCTCTGGGATGTCTCCAGTGAGCTGCGACAGGAACTCCTCCTCCGTCTGGGAACACAAACAGGTCATTCAAGATGGGACACTCCCATCCACGGGTGGAAACAGGAAAATCGAAGGTTACGTTGGTAACCACGGTGGATGTTGCTAAAAGAGCTCCAGATCTGTGACTGATAAGAAAAAATCTCCACGTTTACAAGACAAAAGAATACAGACTCAAGTGGTCTTTTCCCTCAAACCGGTTGGATCAATCTGGTCCCAGTCTAGATGCAGGGAAATGTGTACAGTGCCTTGCGAAAGTATTCGGCCCCCTTGAACCTTTCAACATTTCGCCACATTTCAGGCTTCAAACATAAAGATATAAAATTTTATTTTTTTGTCAAGAATCAACAACAAGTGGGACACAATCGTGAAGTGGAACAAAATTTATTGGATAATTTTAAACATTTAACAAATAAACTGCAAAGTGGGGCGTGCAATATTATTCGGACCCTTTACTTTCAGTGCAGCAAACTCACTCCAGAAGTTCAGTGAGGATCTTTGAATGATCCAATGTTGTCCTAAATGACTGATGATGATAAATAGAATGCACCTGTGTGTAATCAAGTCTCCGTATAAATGCACCTGCTCTTTGATAGTCTCAGGGTTCTGTTTAAAGCGCAGAGAGAACCATGAAGACAAAGGAACACACCAGGCAGGTCCGAGATACTGTTGTGGAGAAGTTTAAAGCCGGATTTGGATACAAAAAGATTTCTCAAGCTTTAAACATCTCAAGGAGCACTGTGCAAGCAATTATAATGAAATGGAAGGAGTATCAGACCACTGCAAATCTACCAAGACCCGGCCGTCCCTCCAAACTTTCATCTCAAACAAGGAGAAGACTGATCAGAGATGCAGCCAAGAGGCCCATGATCACTCTGGATGAACTGCAGATAACTACAGCTGAGGTGGGAGAGTCTGTCCAATGGACAACAATCAGTCGTGCACTGCACAAATCTGGCCTTTATGGAAGAGTGGCAAGAAGAAAGCCATTTCTCAAAGATATCCATAAAAAGTATTGTTTAAAGTTTGCCACAAGCCACCTGGGAGACACACCAAACATGTGGAAGAAGGTGCTCTGGTCAGATGAAACCAAAATCGAACTTTTTGGCCACAATGCAAAACGATATGTTTGGCGTAAAAGCAACACAGCTCATCACCCTGAACACACCATCCCCACTGTCAAACATGGTGGTGGCAGCATCATGGTTTGGGCCTGCTTTTCTTCAGCAGGGACAGGGAAGATGGCTAAAATTGATGGGAAGATGGATGGAGCCAAATACAGGACCATTCTGGAAGAAAACCTGTTGGAGTCTGCAAAAGACCTGAGACTGGGACGGAGATTTATCTTCCAACAGGACAATGATCCAAAACATAAAGCCAAATCTACAATGGAATGGTTCACAAATAGACGTATCCAGGTGTTAGAATGGCCGAGAGTCCAGACCTGAATCCAATCGAGAATCTGTGGAAAGAGCTGAAGACTGCTGTTCACAAACGCTCTCCATCCAACCTCACTGAGCTCGAGTTGTTTTGCAAGGAAGAATGGGCAAGAATTCCAGTCTCTCGATGTGCAAAACTGATAGAGACATACCCCAAGCGACTTGCAGCTGTAATTGCAGCAAAAGGTGGCGCTACAAAGTGTTAGCGCAAGGGGGCCGAATAATATTGCACGCCCCACTTTTCAGTTTTTTATTTGTTAAAAAAGTTTAAATTATCCAATACATTTTGTTCCACTTCACGATTGTGTCCCACTTGTTGTTAATTCTTGACAAAACATTTAATTTTTATATCTTTATCTTTGAAGCCTGAAATGTGGCGAAATGTTGAAAGGTTCAAGGGGGCCGAATACTTTCGCAAGGCACTGTAACTTCGGAAATAATTGGGCAAACTCATCCTATTACTTTGAGCCTTTGATTATACACCTGCTCAACTGCAGCAGCACAAGTTGTTTCATATCTGCAGCGCAATTAAACACGCTGTGCTACAGCCTCAGTCCTGCAGCTACAGTGAGAGTGGATTCCTCTCTCAATATGGGCCTCTCTGAGGTTTCTCACTTTTTTGCCACTGGGTTTCTGAGTTATTCCTTGTAGATGCAGGACGATCTAAGGACATTGTAGATCACATTTATTACAGTGGTCACCCTGCTCCCTATGGACCAATGACTCCTATGAGTTTGTGTTATCATTGCCTTTCCTGTTTGAATTATTGGATTCTCTGATCTGTTGTAGAGGAATCTACAACTGGCAGTTCTAAACTCACCATGCCTTCACTGGCTTTCTTCCCTGCCCTCTTGGACCTGGACCCCCCAGTCCCCCTGGAGCCTCCGGTCCCGCGGCTCCTCTTCTTGTGCAGCTGGCGGCGGTCGGACACCAGCCCCAGACTCAACAGTTTGTCCACAACTCGAGCTCGAGAACGCTTCGCTGTGATCTTCCTCATGATGTCACCCAGAGCATCTGACGGAGACAAAAAGTTTAAACAGACGTCACTACAGTAACCGTCCATCGCACAGAATAGTCACAAAGAGGTGTGTGATCCCAAAGTGATGGTGAGTAGAGGGTGTGTGGTTAACCCATTAAGGCCTGACCCACCTGGTAAAACAGACATGTAAAACCTATGGCCGACTTTAGAACCACCTCTAAAACCTGAAGTTTACCTGAAATTCAACGTCTACAGAATGATTGATATCTCGGCCTCTTGTTGCAGATAGAAACATAATTCCAAAAGAACTTGGGAGCAGAGACGTGTGGCTTTCAATAAGAATGCAGTGTATTATTGTAAACCTTCAGTAGAATAAAACAAAAAATATCCAACACAAGAAATGTAATAAAACAAGTCAAAAAGAGTTTGGCAATAAAGTGGCACTGACTGAATGGAAAAAACATAAAAAATCCACTCTCAGCCCAAAAAGTCATATAATGACTCACAGGGCTCTTTCTTAAAGCTGCACTAACTGACTTTATTTTCGTATTCATTACAAAAATGCTATCCATGTCCATGTAGTGCATTGGGATATACGTCCTTTTGAAGAATAATTAGCGCAGATTTGTGCTGGCGTGACATTATATTTTAGATCGAGTTTTTATGAAACAAGGAAGAGAATGTGTTTCGGGTCGCAGATTGTGACCAATCACAACGGACCACTGGCCCCCACTTTCGTGAGAAATCTACAGGTCCGTTAGCATAGACGGCTGAGTTAGCACAACAAGCGGCGGAGCTAACCTGAAGCTTCGTGTGTCTTCGTCACCGGTTACTGCTTACACAACGAAACAGCCATCCAAAAGAAAGTCCCGTTCCTCCGCGCTTCCCGGTTCTATCGTTCTATGGTCACGCCATCCACGTGAAAATCCATATCCATGTATTATCCATATTGGGAGAGGCTAGCTCCGTCCCAACAGTGAGTGTGTGTGGGGGGCGATAGCTTCGTGGGTGCGGGGAGGGGAGCAGAAAGAGAGAGGCCAGCGAGTCCACGGCTTCAAAATCCCAAAGTCAGTTAGTGCAGCTTTAAGTAAGCAAAATAAAAAAACACTTGAAACACAATTCCCGGCTTGAAAGGTAGAAATGCGGGAATGCGTTCCCAGCCTCTATGGGTTGAAAGAGTACGAATTCTTACTCACGGATCCCAGAGGGTCAGGATCAGGATCAGGGCTAGAGTCAAAGTCAGCGTTAAATCTTTTTACCATCAGAGTCTTTGAACTCTTCAAACAGCATCTGCAGCTCTTCTTCCTGCTCCTCCGTCCAAAGAACAATCCCCGTGCCCTTCCTGTAAACAACATTTATCATTCAAAGTCTCACACAATAGTTACATGCTTGAAAATCTGGTATACCAGCTACAATGTAGTTTGTATCACCCAAAACAGCTTCCTCCATCAGTAGTTTTCACATGCCTGTATCAGCTTTTTCAGAAAGAAAAGTGAAAAAGAGAGGACCATCCTCACTCATCCTTCAGAAAGAGACCAGAGAGAAACCAGAAAAGAGACTAGAGATAGACCAGGGAGAGATGAGGGAGAGATGAGGGAGAGATGAGGGAGAGATGAGAGAGAGATGAGAGAGAGATGAGGGAGAGATGAGGGAGAGATGCGGGAGAGATGAGGGAGAGATGAGGGAGAGATGAGGGAGAGATGAGGGAGAGATGAGGGAGAGATGAGGGAGAGATGAGGGAGAGATGAGGGAGAGATGAGAGAGAGATGAGAGAGAGATGAGGGAGAGATGAGGGAGAGATGAGAGAGAGATGAGAGAGAGATGAGAGAGAGATGAGAGAGACACCAGAGATAGTGAACAGAGAGTCCTCTGAACTAATCACCGTGGTGCAAACGAGCCACAAGAGTTTTCTTCTTACTTACAAATATTAAAGGTAAGTGTCATTTTACTGTATATGGTTATATGATGTTGTACATGACTGAATAAAATGGGTAAAAAAACCTTTTCATTTTTCTATCACACACACAGGAGCAGTGTTTTAGTGGTATATACAAATAGTACTAACAATAATAATGCTACCAGTATTTAAAAGGTAATTAATATGCATACATAAATAAACTCTTACTTGGGCTTCTTGAGCTCTTTGGCGCTGCCCACCAGCCCCATGTGCACCAGCTGCACCACCACCTGTCTCCGTTGGCGATTACAGTTACTGAGCAGAGGCAGGATGTGCTCCACCACGTCCGGCACTGAAGCAGAAGTCACAGCAGAGAAAGTCACGATAGAGATAAAGGCGCGTTCAGACCAAAAGCTTCAAAAAGCTTTTGACGCGCTTCAACTGACGCCGGGATAGTTTTGTCATTTTGGTGCTTGAAGCTTTTGACGCGAGTGACGCGCCTGACGCCGGTGGGAGGAGCTTCTCTGTTCTCTGTAGTCAGGACAGCGGTGGATTTTTCAATGAGCAGCGAGCCTTTATTTGTTATATAAAGCAAAATAACGTTGTTGTAGGGCTTCAACAAAACATGTTCTGGGTTCACCACAGACTTGAGAGGCTGCAGTGTTTGCAGAGTTCCGTCATTTACTCCAGGAGCTGCGTACGGAGGAGTTTCGCTTTCAGCGGTACTTCCGCATGTCACTTGCCCAGTCTGAGTTCTCAAACCCCGGAGCTCGCCTCTCCCTGCCTCTCCCTGCCTCTCCCCGGCTCTCGCTCGCCTCTCCCTGCCTCTCCCTGCCTCTCCTCGCCTCTTCCCGGCTCTCGCTCGCCTCTCCCTGCCTCTCCCTGCCTCTCGCTCGCCTCTCCCCGGCTCTCGCTCGCCTCTCCCCGCCTCTCCCTGCCTCTCGCCCGCCCGGAGCTGCCTTGCTCTGAGCCAGACTCATCGTCAGCCTGTTCTTATTTTAAATAAACTACGTTTACTACACAGCATGTGTACAATGATTTTTGTTACTCAGAACGTTACTACTCATACAAATAATATTACTAATAACAATAATGACAATAAAACAGCAGCAGCAGCATGACTTCTCTTCATGACAGAGACAGACCCTCTGCTGCTGCTGCTCCTCGTCTCCTGATTGGTTGAAGCCCGCGTCAAAGCTTCAAAAGCTCAGCTTTGCTCAACTTCGGCGTCAAAGGGATTGTTGTGATACGCGAGCGTTTCGCGCGTCAAAAGCTTCAAGTGAGCGCGTAGTACGCGCGACTCTTGAAGCTTTTGACGCGCGTCAAGTGACGCCGGGGCTCTCGGCTTCACCTGACGCGCTTCACCATTCACTTTCAATGGAAACCTGACGCTTTTGACGCCGAAGTTGAGTCCGGTGTGAACGCCCCTTTAGAGCACAAGAAACTGGAAGGAGCAGCAGCTGCAGTCAGAGCTCTCGTTTTACCACTCCTTCGTCCTCTATGAGCTTTGGGTAATAACTGAAAGGACTGGCGGGGCGCTCCCTTAGGGTGAGGAGTTTGTCTCTCTCTCTCTCTGTATGGGGGTCTCTCTCTCTAGTGTCCCTCTAGTGTCTCTCTCTGGCCTTCTACGGTGATGAGCTCAGTCACATGGGAGGAGCTCGGAGTAGAAACGCTGCTTCTCCACGTGAAGAGGAGTTTGTTGGGGTGACTTGGGCATCTGTTTGGGATACCTCCTGGCATCCTCACTAGGGAGGTGTTCGGGGCATGTCCCACTGGGAGGAGACCAGCTGCTGTGTCTCTCAGATGGCCAGGGAATCATCCAGGATTCTCCCAGATGAGCAGGAGGACGTGAGTGTAGAGAGGGAAGTCTGGGCGTCTCTGCTGCCCGGACGATTGGGGAAACAGATAAAGCGGAAGAAATGGATGGGTGGAAAGAATGTTGGACAAACCGTCTGAGCCGCTATGCTCCTCGTACAGCCGGCGCAGCTCCGCCTCCTCCTCTTCGGTCCAGGCGACTCTCTTTCCACCACTGATGAAAAAAGTGCAGGGTTAACACCAGGATTCATCAACAAGATTCATTTTGATGCAGTTTTTTGGGAGTTCACAGCTTTGTCCGAGTTCTGGCAGCTCAGAGTGACGCTCCCGCTGGGTCCCTAACTCTACAAGACGCCACACTCCTGGTCCAATGAGGTTCATTTGATCTTCTGATAAGATTGGACACGTTATTTTTTTAGGTACAAAAAAACACTTCTAGACACCACACTCCCCTCTGTGTAATATGAAAGTGTGTTCTGATTTATCCTCAGAGCTTTTGTTCAGTGCAAACATACAGTAAACTAGTTCTGTAGAGAGAAACATACCAAACAATCTCCAACTCATCTTAAACCTTTAAAGGAGCAATATGTAAAAATCTGGCCAAAAGTGGTACTGCAGTCACAGTCAATATTTTGTAGTCCTCTCCCACTCTCCCTGACTCAGGTTGCCAGATTCACACCAAATCCAGCAGCAAACACAGGGAATTATTTTATCAGTTGTTTGTCCGTCTCCATTCACATGCCATGACAGCCGTGCTAATGCTGAATGAATGTTTTGATTAATATTTTTTATTATTATAATTTGGATATTTGAGATAAAAAACAAAAACAAAATAAAAGCAATGTAATTATACATAGTTTATGCAAAATAAATAAGAAATCGATGTCCAAAATAGGAGTGGGAAGAATGGATGTTGGAACGTATTTCTTCAGCGTATCAACATCAGGGTTTTAGTTCTACGCCACATGTTATTTTACCACTGAGATTAATGAGCCGCGCGGAGTTCTGGCAACCCGATCACGGACTTACATGACACTTCCTGATTGGCGAAACGGCGGAGGGTAGGACATCAAAATCAAAACAATAACAACTTTTACGGGTCGTAAAACTAATTTTGATGATCAAATATCTCGGCTGAACTACTGTTATCAGTTAAAGATGAATTCGAAAAGAGTATGATTTAATAACGCCTTTTGAAATATTCGGGTCATTTAATGATGACTTGACATGCAAATATTACATATTGCTCCTTTAATGTTCCCTCCTTGAAGAAAGTGGTGTCATTTTTTCTTTTTTGAATTTTCTAATAACACAAATAGTTTTTAAGTTTTTTTATTTAACCCCTAGTTTTTTATATTATAGGCCTTTACCAAATAGAGATGTTGAGATGCAGTTGAGACGCCCCAAAAGAGGTAGATTTCAGTTTCAAGCTTCAAGTAGAAATAGTGACTCAAAAAGTGATCCATCAAATGGTTGAAGAAACCATTCAATGGTTACATTAAAGTTATCTGTGTAAGTCTCTAGGAAGGTCATCTCCTCTCTGTATACAGAAAGTGTGCACTGACCTGTCCTTGGAGTATCCCTCGGTCATCTCTCGCACCGTGCCGACGTTCTTCCAGAACAGCAGCTCAATGAAGCTCTTGTCATTCTGCGCCGTGAGTCTGAAGAAGCCGCGCAGCACGTGTTTGGCAAAGGTCACCAGCTCCTGCACACATCCAGGTGTCACTCAGAGCGCACTGAAACACATCCACTCCGTAATTTTATGTTTGAGCCTCACGGTGAAGGCGGCGGCGGCCGAGTCGCTCAGCAGCTTGTTGAAGACGTGGAACACCGAGAGCTGGAAGAGCAGCGCGTCCATCTTCAGGTCCACGGCCACGCGGTGCAGCATGCGCGCCACACAGTGGTTTGTGTGCGCAGAGTTCTTAGAGTAACTCTTCAGCAGATGGACGTAAGGGCGCATGATGGCGGGCTGCGCAAACCTGAGGAGAGGAGCAGAGCTCAGACAGGCGTCATTTATTAATGCCTGCAATCACCGCAACGTCAATGAAGCCCATTGTGAAGTGCTCATGGTGAAGGTTTGCTCCTACTCGCTCTGGCTCCTATTGACTTACATGTAAAAGTAAACTCCTCTAGCGCAGTCAACGTTTTTGTCACACTCATCCTTCTGGGATTTACAAATCTGTGGTTGAGCACTCGCTGTGAACCCGGTGTTTACATTTTGACAATAACATGTAAAATAATTTAAAACACCTCTTGATGAAATCCAGAAAGTTGAACTCCTGCTCTGACACTTGAATCGTCTCCAGTTCTTCCTCCTCAAACTCGTCTCCATCGTCTTCCTCCTCCGGAGCTTCAGCAGGAGGCGGTCCTACGGGAAACGTACGCTTTTAAAGTCAAATGTAATCAGAATCATTGATGAAAGGCCACATGACAAGTTTCTGTTTGGAGTGCACAACAAACACGTGTCAGTGACATCACAGGGAGACACACAGAACACAACACAGGAGTGTGTGTGTGTGTGTGTGTGTGTGTGTGTGTGTGTGTGTGTGTGTGTGTGTGTGCGTGCGTGCGTGCGTGCGTGCGTGCGTGCGTGCGTGCGTGCGTGCGTGCGTGCGTGCGTGCGTGCGTGCGTGCGTGCGTTCGGAGAATATTAAAAACAGAGCAAGAAAATGCTCCAATTATGTCCACCTGGATTATTTACTGCCACATCAGAAAGCTTCAGATGAAAATCCTTGGTAATCACAGATGTTTTAACTCACGTGGCAGGTTTGCGTGGAGGATCTGTTTGAGGAGCTCCAGTTCCTCCTCCGGCTGCAGCTCAGAGGAACCAAACACGTCTCCCTCCGGCCACACCTCCCTGAAGGAAAGAGGACCCGGGTAAACATCATACAATTATAGGAAATAGGAGGTAAGGAAATATAAAACTGAAGAGGCTGAGGAATTACTGAGAAACAGGCTCTGGGCTGGGAGTCTGGTGATTGGCAGTTGCCATGGTTACCAATCTACACAATTTTGAACGATAGACGCTTTTGCTGCTGCTGCTTCTGCTACTACTACTATTATTTATTATTATTTATTAACAGCCAACTTTACAACCTAGTATGTGTGGAATGTGACAGTGGCTCTGTTAAAACACTGTTGACTGTTAAAACAATTGCTAAAATGTTTACTTGTTAAAGCATTTTCTTATTGTTCTTGATATGAGAAAAAACCTTTTAAAGTGATTGTCTGGAGTTTATCAGAAAGAGAGAGAGAGGTACTTGATATGAAAAAAACCACGCAAGCTCCCTCCCCCTTCCTTTCTGATTGGTCTGCGTTTCCGTAACACTTTTAAATGTTCATCAGACACATTATACATATACATTATTAATGCACATGCACAGAGGTTTTCAGAATGATTTGTTTAACGTTTTAATGAAAAAAATAATGTTTTTATGCACAAAAAAAGCGATCGCGGCAAACCCGGTCAAGCTATTATCATGAACTGCACATTATAGGACACATCTGCAGAGGATCTGATTACACAAATTGAAAAAATGGTCAGGGGTTTCTCAACTGATTTAGACTCATTTTGGTGTTCTGAGTCCGAATATCACATGCATTTTGCTCTATCAGGTCAACTTTTTGAGATACAGCCATAGTGTTACGGATTATGTACGTCTACGTTATTATGAATTCTGCTTATCAAATTTGATGGAGTAAATAAAAACTAAAGTACTTTGTATACGTGGACTTTTATTTCTTGAGGAAAACGGAAAAAACGTCAAGGGTTTCTCAGCTGATGATCCGCAGAAATTTGTTTTTTACGCAAAATCGATTAAAAAAAATATTTCTGTAGCAAAAAAATCCTGACCTGATTGAGCAAAATCAAGGTCATTTTGGGACTCAGAGCATCAAAATTAGTCTAATTCAGCTGGAAAACCCTGGACTATTTTCAAAAAATATTTTTTGTTACCCAGTGTTATGGATATAGGTTCAGTATATAAATGATTATGGATATAGGTTCAGTATATACATAAGTAACTCAGCGCGGATGTTCAGAATTCTTTGTTCAGTTTTCTTGTAGTTCCAGAGCCTAATAGAGGCTTGATTCGGAGGCTCCGCGAAAACAAACAACTGAGCATGGGCGCAGCTACGAGTATCAGCGCTGATGATTGACAGCCCTTGGCCTCACTTGATTGGTTAAAGTGGACGGCATCGTGGATTCTAAGCTATAGCTAAGAAGCGAAGGGGGGACTTACCCGTAATATTAGAATTAGTAAAATGACGTATTTTATGTCAACATTTAAGGCCAGGAGGTCAATTTAATACAATTCCTATAATTTGTAATTAATTTAGAGTTACAGACTATCACTTTAAATTTCAGTTTTTATTAGTTTTATGAATTCCTAGAAATAACACAACGTAGTACTTGTATCAGTATTCGGCTTTGGCAAGTACTCAAATTAAGGTACTCATACTCGGTTTTGAAAAAAGTGGTATTGGTGCCCAGGGAACTGTGATTATTATTCTAATTTCTTGTATGATTGTTTCTTATTTTGTTTATCAATTTGAGTTGCCTTGTGAATGAACTGTGCTATAAATATAAACAATAATAATAATAATAATAATAATAAAAATAAAAATGCATCAGTTTTTTATATAGCGCTTTTTTGGACACTCAAAGACATTAAAACCTGCCTTGCATAGTGGTTATCTGTTTGTAATTACATAATTTATCCAGCCGAGGGCGCACTATGCAAAGTGTTCCATTGGACAGATACAAATTTTGTTATAATTGTGTTAATGGATTCTGTGTCATGTCTAAAAGTCATCTTTACAAGTCAGATTTACACAAGCACACTTCACCTACAAAACATTGATAAATAGAAATGATTAGAAATGACTGATTGTGTATAAACAAACAGCAGAAGCAAAAACTAGTAACAAAAGCAAATGAGCAGCAGCACTCAAAAGTCGTGTTTCCACCACAGGAGTTCCTGGTAAAGGAGGGGGTGGGATAGCTACAGGAACTGTTCGTTCATTTGGCCTCTCAGTGGCCGTGTCTCCACTGAGGAGTAGGATCCCTGGGCGACGTCATGAGTTTTGGTCGCTGCAAATTGAGTTGTTTTTTTTTACTTTTCATGGCATTGTTTCGGAGTGCGATTAAAACCCAGTGCATCGAAGTTCCTTGATATGTCTTAATATATCTTTTTTGCCGCGATGCTTCAAATCCGTCTGAATATCCGTCCATTTATCGTATATATTGCTGTTGCTGTTTGCCGTTTCCAGTGGTGTCTGCTGGGCTAATGCTGCTGGGCTAATGCTGCTGGATTTTAAAAATGCTGCTTGTTTGTGTGCTTTCTGCTGGTGTCACAGCCTGCTCTAGTTTTAGCCAATCAGGGACGGAGGAGACACACGCCAACGGGACTGGCCCTGTAAAGGTCCTGCAGTGGAAACAAAACTATTGACAGATAATGCTGTTTCTGTGGTTCTTACCTGGCGGCCCGCAGCAGCCCCAGGGCCTCAGGGCCAAGCCGGTGCAGCAGAGCGTTCTGGACCCGGATCATGACCTCAGTCCTCTGCTCCTCCAGTGGAGTCTCCGACGCAGCATCAAAGGGAACCACAGCCTCAGTGAGGGAGGCAGACAGCTGCAGAAAGAGGAGAGTGAGGTTCTCAATCTGTGGGACCTGGGTTTCATCAACGGGCTGTGTCCTTTGATTAAACTTGAGGTAGCGATCTTTGAAATCACAACTAAAACAGTTTGCTTCTATCACAAAATAACACGTTGTGTAAGAGAGAACGCTGTGAGTCACTATTTGACTCTTTGGGCTGAGCACGGATTGGCTGAGTGTGGGGGGTCCTCCCTTTACCATGTTATTGTCTTAGTAAAAACAGATATGAGCCATATAAGGATTGACCAACCAGATTCGTGGGGGGAACAACAATTTGCCATACCCACCGTCTGCCCCTATTAAGGCAAAAGTTAACGCCGTAACAAATGCCATTATAAGGAAATTGGCTCCAACTAGCTTACGTTCGAATCAGATTCTTCCTCATTAAGGCTAACACTGTGATTATGTCACACCCGGGCAGTTCGTGTCAACCTTTCTAACAGCTCACAGTGCAGCATGAGCTTCTCTAAATAGATGGTGGAAGTGGTGCTTGGTGGAATGTGTGGGACCTGAACACCAATGATGTGTTGCACCACACTCACGTTGAAGTCTATGGCTCGGAGCTCCTCCTCCACGATCTTCCAGGTTTCAGATAGAGCCTCCGGTGTCGGCTCAGACACCAACGGCTTCTTCCCTTTCTTCTTCCGTTTCACACGTTTTTTCTGCAAATGAGGATAATTATGAGGATCTGACAAATTCAGGAGGACACAACACTCTGATTTGTACATGATCATTATTAGTTGTACAGGCAGAAATGTCATTGTTTTGTATTATGATACAGAGATCATGAATGAACACAAACGCTATAATCACACATCGTTAGTGATGGTGTGAAGCCAATTATGGAGCATCCTCTGGGGAGATCATGCAGGAGGGGGAGAGGGAGAGAGAGGGAGAGAGAGAGAAGAGAGAGGAGGGAGAGGAGAGAGAGGAGGGAGAGGAGAGAGACCACAGGGACCAAAGATGAAGGCAGCGTTTTGTGGTCATCATTTGGCATTCACAAGCCTCTTTCTGAGAATTGTTTTTTTTTTTAAATAAAAAATAACTTAAATAGCTGGTACCCCAACTTTAACCAGCTTCGTACCTGGACCATGAGATTCCGGCGGCCTTTACAGAATCGCTCCAACATCCGTAAGAACAGGTGCGTAGTCTCCACCAGGTCCTTCAGGTACGAGTGCGGCTGTTTGGTCTCATCAAACTTTCTCAGCAGAGTCACAAAGATTTCCCTGTACTCCATCATGTAGAAGATGTTACCTGAAAGATCGCAGACATAAGAGGAGTAAGGACGAGTGAGGAGAAGCGAGGAGGATGAGTGAGAAGACGAGAGGAGCTGTGAGATCTCCATGTACTCCAATTATGTAAAACAGAGACCAATCAGCAGAGAGAAAGATTGCTCTCCAACTTAAAGCCTGAGGGAATAGATAAACAAAACCTCATAACATTTTGAAAAAGCCTCTTTGGTTCAGTCCCGACATTGGCACTAACTGTGTGCCAATTGACAAGTGTCTGCTTCTCTCACAAAGCGGACTCTTGAGCAGGTCAATCTCTGAATAGACTCGTCTGTCGCATAGACTGCATTTCTATGCACCTTTGCAAACGCCAACTGATGAGTGGCATGGGCGGAGAAAGAAGACGAGGCCGACAGGCTAACGGGACCGGGTTAGAAACCCCTGATGTAGAATATGTTGCATGAAAGACCACAGACAGGAGAGGAGTCAGGAGCAGTGAGGAGGAGTAAGGAGCAGTACTTTTGATCACACTGGAGCTCTGCCTGATGCTCTCGTCTCTTGATCGGTCCATTTCGTTCACGGTGAGGAGGAGTTCTTGATAAGCTTTGAGCGCCAAGTGCATTCTATACAAGAGGAAATGTATTGTGTTACAAAGAAAAGTCCAGGTTTTGCATCACAAGTTACAGAATAGAATGAGGAGCACGGAATACAAAATAAGTGAATATTATATTATAGTATAACACTTTAATAATAAAATTAAATCTCTATCTTTAGCTTGATGAAGAAGCTGTTTATAATATACTGAAAATCGAGTGCAGGAAATATGTGCTTGTATGTCCATGAGGCTCAGAGTGGTGTCACCTTCGGGACCAGGACACGGCCTCTTTGCGGTCCGTCAGCATCATCTCATAGTAGTTGGTGATGTTTCTCTCGATGAAGTGAAAAGCTCGGATGGACATGGTCTCCGACACAAACTCGGGCCTGAAGCCGTTCCCTCTGTTGAAGGACATGAAGAAGCTCTGGGCCCAAAGGTAGTAGGTCTCATCGTGCTGCTGCGTCTGCTCGCGGACCAGGTTCTCCTGCAGACACCGCACGCACCACACAACATGTACTGACCACCAATGGAATCCTGAGAAATTATTTCAGGTTTATTATAAGTAAGTCATTTATAAGGTTTTTTTTCTTTGCTGACTTTCACTTTGTGCCAAATATGTGGTAAATATGACTGAAACAAAGAAAAAGATATTTGGTGAAAGTCTAAATGCTAACAGCTGCAAGTACAACTAGCTCTGACTCAGAGTGTGACCTCATCATGGTGTTAGCCGAATGCAAAAGAAGAATTTCATTATATCTCATTTGTTCTGATGACGTTAGCTTAGCGCCGTATGAAGAAGGCATGTTGTTATTCAATACTTATACAGCTCATATCCGGATTTACAAAGACAATATCCCAATATAAACATCAGGATCACAGAGCGCAATAAAATGTGGATTGTTTAGGCCGTGTCTTATGATGAGCGTGTATCTCCTCTAGCAGCTTCAAGAGTTTAGTTTTCAATGTTAGTAAATAGCAGCCAGAGCGAGTTAGAGCAAAATTTTGTCCATGAGCACTTCCCTATTGGGCTTCATTGAGCTAGCGGGTTAGCATTATCCATCTAGTCCAGGCATGTCAAAGTCAAATACATCAGAGGGCCAAAACAAAATGCTTGCTACGCGCCGAGGGCCGGACTGGTTCAATGTTTCTCAACATCCAGAGGCAGTACCGGTGACACCTGTTGGCTCAATAAAATATGCTCTAAAGCCAATCCTCATACTGTACATATTAGATGTAATAGACATCTGAGAACATGAAAATAGTAAAAAATAAAAAACAGCTCAAACTTTTTTGATTAAATCTGCAGAATGGAATACTTTGGGAAATACAAGTGGATATTCTTCTTCAATAGACAGTTACGGAGAGAAAGCGACTAAGCAAGGATGAGGAAAGTCTAATTTGTTGGAGCAGCAGAAGACGAAAGGTAAAAAACAAATACAGACGTGATTTATTTTGTGCCCATATTATGCGTTATATCTTTTTAATGCAAAGTCTGATATCGTTTACACTTACATATAAATATAGCTGAGAAAATAAGCTTTAAAATGATATATAGCTTGTGGCTTATGAAGTTCAAAATACATCTGCTATTGCCAGCAGATGTATTTTTTTCCTCGTTTGCTCCCGCCGGCGGGGGCTAGCGAGCTTAAGGGGTCAACACATTGCCTCAATGGCAGGCAGTCCCGGGGGCCATAGATAATTCATTCGCGGGCCGGATTTGGCCCGCGGGCCTTGACTTTGACACATGTGATCTAGTCTATGGGAGTAATTTACACGTCACAGACCTTGACGAGGTACATGAGGTGGTTGTAGCAGTTCTCTAAGAAGTCCAGACAGAACTCTCGCAGGAACAGGCGCACGTTCAGAGCAGAGCGCCGCTTGTCGTTACAATCCTGAGCCTGACGGTGGCGCTTCGGGACCCGCCTCAGCACTTTCCCAGAATCGTGAGTGTAGTTTTTATACTGTGCCGAGAGAGAACAGAACAGTGAGCTCAAAGGGATCAGAGAGAAGAGGAAGAACAGTGAGCTCAAAACCATGTTTGATCTTCGAAGACGCCCAAAATCTCATGATACATGGCCCCAGTTTCTCCTTTTCATAAGTATAGATCAGTTGTCCTGTTCCCACGACAGAAATAGAGCCCCAAACCTTCACGTTTCCACCCCCATGCTTCACAGTGGGTATGGCGTATTGGGATCTGTCCCCCAGTGACAGCCCCAAAACATCACAGCTCTCGAGTAGGTCTGCATGGAAGAATGGGCCAAAACACCGACTACAGTGTGTGGAAACCTGGTGTGTGTTTAAGCTGCTACTTTTAAATTGCTTTTTGTGTGTTAAATATGCTGATAGTTGCCCCGATTGACCCAGACTGCTGGAAGCCATGGTAACCAAGGACTTTCGACAGATACTGGCTTGTTGTGGGTATGTTGCTATGTTACAGTAAAAGATACTAAAGCGTAATGGAAACGCAACCAGGTATAGTAGGGTAGAGCAGAGTAGAGCAAAGTGGGGATGGTGGAAACAGAGCTGAGGGGAAGCACTTTGAGTTGCAATATGTATGAACTGTCCATTTGACTGACTGAAAGTGGTCAGAGAGAAGCAAACAAGGCTCACGTTGTTGATTCTCTGGTGGTAGATGACGTCGTTGTCTCCGATCGACTTCAGGCCCTGGACGACAAACGAGCCTCCAAACCGAGAGTGTCTGAAAGAAAAGCTTTGGCCTCAGTAACGCGGTATAATCTGAGGAAAGACACTCCTGACAGAGCTCAAGTTGTTTTGTAAAGACCCACGGGCAAAACTGGCAAATCTCTCTGGTCCGTCCCTCCCTCTCTCTGGTCCCTCTCTCTGTGACAGTATGGTCTCACCTGGTCCCTCTCTGCAGGTTCCTGGAGCGTTTGGATGCCTGCTCCCTCAGCCTCAGTGCCTCCAGCTCAGAGGAGTCTTTCTGCTTCTCTTCAGCTGATCGAGCCTGACCCGCACTCACCAGGGCCTCCGGAGTCTGAGACACACACACGTTACATGTTTCATCTTCAAAGCTCTCACTGGTGGAAGAAAGTTTTTGCCCAAAATCTCACGATACATGGCACTGTTCATCCTTTCATTCATACGGATCAGTCGTTCTACATCAGGGGTTTCAAACCGGTTCCAGAAAGCTCCGGTGTGGCTGCATGTTTTAGTTTCAACCTGAACAGGAGGACACCAGACCCCACCCATAGCTCTGTTCAACACCCACCGGTCTGCATTGAAGAATGGGCCAAAATATCAGCTCAGTGTGTGCAAACCTGGTGAAAACCTACAGGAAAACCTGTGTCCTTACAAATAAAGGTCACATAATAAGGTGTTGAGATGAATGTTTGTTATTGGTCAAATACTTTTCTGCACTATTACACTAAGAAATAGTTTAATAGTGTAAAATCATACAAAAGTTTTCACATTCTGTCACACACTGTTGAGGTATGATGAGAATTGAGGACCCCTCTAATTTGTGTTTGTTTTGTTATTAAATGGGACGTCATCTAAACAAACATACTGTATAAAGTATAGAAGATGTGTTTGGTCCGTACCTGGTCTCTGAACATGAGGGACACCAGCTCCAGCACGTGCATGCTCCACTGCTGCTCGCTCTGAGCTGAAGCCACAAACTTCACGATGTCGTCGAAGCCGCTCATGTGCAACGCCCAGAGCACGCGGTCGTGCACGCTGGCGTCATCGTCCACCTTCTGAGGAGCAGGACAGGCCTGTGGTTAGAACTACACACACCCACTACATCAAAGACCTTTGTTCATAAATAAAGCATAAATGAAGCTTTACAGAAGGATGACTTCCTGACTTCTGATCCTTCACAACTCAATAATCATTTAGAATCCTGTAAACCTTCTCCTCGTTGGGGTCCCCTGGAACATGGAGCACGTTTCGGACCAACATCAGAATCCTCTCCACGAGCAGGTTGTCCTCCTCCTGACGCTGCTCCCAGTCCTGAAGACAGGGAGAGAAGCGTTCTAAACAGGACATTTTCTTTCACAAAATTTCTATCATTTATTGGTTCTTTCCCATATGCGGCTTCTGCTGAAATACTCAGACACTTCTACAACATGAACGCAATCTCATCCTTTCAAATGCATGGTGGCGTGAAGGCCAAAAGAAACTCACCAGTTGTAAAAGATTGTACAACGTTTCGCTCAAGATGCCAAAAACCCGCTCACTCGCAAAAGCCTGAAGACAAACAAAGTATACATCAACTTTGATTTACCAGCGTTCATTTTGACCCTTAAACTTGATAAGAAATACACTGGGATTTCTGAAAATGTGGTATATTTTTATATGGTGTTTTAATATGCCAAGAAGAATACTTTTCAGGGGAACAAATGTGAGTCACTATTTGACTCTTTGGGGTGAGAGCTGATTGGCTGCGTGGGGGTGGTCCTATCTTTTTGTTTCTGTTCTCTTTCTGTCTGATGTGCCGTTGATGAGACAGAGGCTAAACATACATGTGAAAAGCAGTGATAGAAGCAAACTATTTTAGAACCAAGAATTAGTGACGGTGATCGTTTTTTATGACATACTTCTAAAATGGACTGACTTCTTCATGTTGTAAAACTGGAATTTGAATGTTGATATTGTAACTTTGTGGCTGATATTTGCGGTGAAGAACAATAATGAAACATAAGCCTCATTTCCACCAGTTCTACTTTACCCTACTTTACCCAAACCTACACAGGGCTCACAGAAAGACTTTTTTTTTTTCATAAAATGTCTTCCATAAAAGACAGTAAAACAGCTGTACCTCTTTGTAAGCCTGTAAATGTGACGTCACTTCCAGATAGTGGTGTCGGAACACTGGGTCGTCCGGGACTTTGCCGAAGCAGAGCATGGCGGGCTGCGTGAGGTTCACCATGAGCCTAAAGCACAACAGCACAACCTTATCATTTGAGGGTTAGTACAGGTTTTAGAAAACAATGCTTGTTTCCACCAGAAGTTACTGGACACGTGTGATAGGATTACAGTAATAAGCAAGTAACTCATCTTTATAGTTTATTTATATACAGTGCCTTGCGAAAGTATTCAGCCCCCTTGAACCTTTCAACATTTCGCCATATTTCAGGCTTCAAACATAAAGATATAAAATTTTAATTTTTTGTCATGAATCAACAACAAGTGGGACACAATCGTGAAGTGGAACGAAATTTATTGGATAATTTAAACTTTTTTAACAAATAAAAAACTGAAAAGTGGGGCGTGCAATATTATTCGGCCCCTTTACTTTCAGTGCAGCAAACTCAGTCCAGAAGTTCAGTGAGGATCTTTGAATGATCCAATGTTGTCCTAAATGACTGATGATGATAAATAGAATGCACCTGTGTGTAATCAAGTCTCCGTATAAATGCACCTGCTCTTTGATAGTCTCAGGGTTCTGTTTAAAGCACAGAGAGAACCATGAAGACAAAGGAACACACCAGGCAGGTCCGAGAAACTGTTGTGGAGAAGTTTAAAGCCGGATTTGGAGCGACTACAGCTGAGGTGGGGGAGTCTGTCCATAGGACAACAATCAGTTGTGCACTGCACAAATCTGGCCTTTATGGAAGAGTGGCCATTTCTCAAAGATATCCAATAAAAGTCTCTTAAAGTTTGCCACAAGCCACCTGGGAGACACACCAAACATGTGGAAGAAGGTGCTCTGGTCAGATGAAACCAAAATCAAACTTTTTGGCCACAATGCAAAACGATATGTTTGGCGTAAAAGCAACACAGCTCATCACCCTGAACACACCATCCCCACCTCAGCTGTAGTTATCTGCAGTTCATCCAGAGTGATCATGGGCCTCTTGGCTGCATCTCTGATCAGTCTTCTCCTTGTTTGAGATGAAGGTTTGGAGGGACGGCCGAGTCTTGGTAGATTTGCAGTGGTCTGATACTCCTTCCATTTCAATATAACTGCTTGCACAGTGCTCCTTGAGATGTTTAAAGCTTGGGAAATCTTTTTGTATCCAAATCCAGCTTTAAACTTCTCCACAACAGTATCTCCGACCTGCCTGGTGTGTTCCTTTGTCTTCATGGTTCTCTCTGTGCTTTAAACAGAACCCTGAGACTATCAAAGAGCAGGTGCATTTATACGGAGACTTGATTACACACAGGTGCATTCTATTTATCATCATCAGTCATTTAGGACAACATTGGATCATTCAAAGATCCTCACTGAACTCCTGGAGTGAGTTTGCTGCACTGAAAGTAAAGGGGCCGAATAATATTGCACGCCCCTCTTTTCAGTTTTTTATTTGTTAAAAAAGTTTAAATTATCCAACAAATTTCATTCCACTTCACGATTGTGTCCCACTTGTTGTTGATTCATGACAAAACATTAAAATTGTATATCTTTATGTTTGAAGCCTGAAATATGGCAAAATGTTGAAAGGTTCAAGGGGGCCGAATACCTTTGCAAGGCACTGTAGCGCCATTCACAGACCAGAGTCACAAAGTGTGATGCACAAGCGCTAACCACTGCGCCACCGTAAGACAACAGATGAGAAGCCAATTCTAATGCAATAATTACATTTCATCCTTATTCAATGTGTCAGTCTCTCCGTCAGTCACTGTCTCCATCTCTCACAAACACATGTGTAATCTCTGGTCTCACTCGCTCGGGTCCCCTTTTATATCTATTTGGTTTATGCCTAATATGTTAAGCCAAAACTATATTTTGATTTATTTATAACAAATAATGTTGTTATTGTGATATTTCCTTCTCATAATGTGATTTCATTTTGCAGTCATATCGCCAGGCACTAGTACTAACAGCTTGTTTTCCCATTGGTTTATAATAAAGTCCTCCGTGTTGTCCTCTCACCGGATGCATGCGTCGAACAGAGCCTTGTCCTGGCCGTGCTGCACAATCAGAGGCAGCAGGTCATTCTGGAGGATCTGGCTCGAGCCCAGCTGCTGCCGCACGTCCCGCGTGTCGTCCTCATGACGCAGGTACCGGATCAGGTCTTTGATGCTCTCTGAAACCAGCCCCAGGGAGAAAGTACTTTTACAACTACAGGAGGAGTGAAGTTGTGTACATGAAAACAAGATTGTGGTAAATACACAGCCCACAACAACATATCTTCAGTGTTGTATTCGAGAAACGTAAATCATTCATAAACGACAACTGCGCCACAAAGTGAAAATATAAAACTTAAGTTCTAGCTACAAGTGTCCAGATGTGACTGTGAGGAGCCAGTATTTAGTTGACTTAAGATTAATAAGAGAAATATATGTGTGTGTGTGTGTGTGTGTGTGTGTGTAGAATGTGTAATAATGTAATTCTCAATATAAAATACAATAGAGTTCAGTTGTGTTTTCGCAGGAGGTTCAGATCAATAGGTTATGATGTGACTGATAAGAGATCGATCTTGTATAATCCCCCTGTACCCATCTCTAAACTCACTCCTCTCCCCTCTAAACACTTACTCAGCTATTGTCCCCAATCCAATGCAATACCTGGATCTGTACAATTGCTAGATGTGTGCAATGATGTGGACTCTAACATTGTGGATCTTGGTGGACTGATGCACTGTTTTTTTTCATTTGTTTTTTTTGTTCTTGTTGTTGTTTTTAACCCTTGTGACCCTAATCCTATGGGACTACGGATGGTAAATAGGCTTTGGCTATAGTCTGGCATGTTTACATTCATGTTTCTAATGTTTCTGTTCAACAACATGCACTGTCCCATTAAAATAAATTAATAAACCCTCTCTCTCTTCTTGTCTCCCCTCTCCCCTCTCACATGGACCAGTAAGCCTCACCGAGACAGTCCGACTCCTTATGGTACACATCTCCCTCCAGATACCCCAGAGCACTGCACGTGGCCAACAGCTCACAGTTCATGTTCAGCAGCAGTCTGTCCACCACTAGGAAACGTCCTGCTGAAAAAATGCAACATAAAACCTAAATGCCAAAGAGTTCTTACAGTGAGTGAGACCTGAGACCAGAGTGAAGATTAGCCGTGTTTGTTACCACAGAGAGACGACTGTAAAACTGGGAATAAATCAGACCACAGAGTTCTGGCAAAAATCCCCGTCACTGTGAATCAGCGTCTTCAAGTCTGATACCGGTACCAATCTTTTGGCTTCAATCTGCTACCGGATATGTAAGTAAGTAAGAAATAATTACAGTGCATTAAAAAGAGTGAAGATACGACCTTTCAGCTATATGCAAAATGCATTTAACTAACTCCAAAAGTTTGGTTCTACCACTAGTTTCCACACACACGTATTTCTGGCTTCTGTCACATCTTTAGATCAGTTTTTTTTTCAGAAGGAAAAGGGAAAATGAGAGGATCCCATCTCTCAGCCAATCAGCTCTCAAAGAGTCAAATAGTGACAGTCACAACTAGAGCTGCAACTAAAGATTATTTTGTAATCGATTAATCTATCAATTATTTTTACGATTAATCGAGTAATCGCTTGGCTGTGAATTGAGTAGAAAAAAATTATTTTTTCATCACAAAAAGCTAAAGTGGCAACACTCGAGGACGTATTGATGGCGTAAACTTAAAGTAAATGTTTGTAACAGGCTCTTTGTGCTAATTCTGCTATCTGATTGGATGAGACAGACAGATATTCATGAAATTATAAAAACAAAGTTGGTTTTAATCAAAAATACTAAATTTTCATGTCATTTTTGTTCTGTTTGAGTCCGTGTGAACCAGAAAACGATTAAATCGATTACTAAAATAGTAGTCGACTATTTCAATAATCGATTAGTCGTCGATTAATCGATTAGCTGTTTCAGCCCTAGTCACAACAAGGTTCTTTTTGTTTACGAATAAGAGGAAGACAGCATGTTGAGGGCTGATTGGAAAATTGTACATTCTCTCTCCCTCTATGTGGTCTCTCTCCAAGTTTGCTTCTTGATGTGTACCCCGTCTGCTGTATTTCCATGTATTTTTTCTTTTTACAATTTAATTTTATAATGACTTGTTTTATTACATGTTGACTGTGCAGCACTTATTATTATCATTATTATTACAACGTCTATAAGTTACATTTTCGCATAGTTTTTGTTGTAGTATTAGGGATTATTAACACATATTAAAACAGCTTCCATGCACCCTAAGACACTTATTCACCAAGGCAATCTCCCGAGTACTCCAGTCTGCATTTTTACCAAATTTAAAACACATTCTATTGAAACAAACCTGTTCAGAACAGCTTACACAATCCCGGCCAAGTAATGACGTAATGCTTAAGATTTGATTGAAATGTGAAGTTTTTTGATCCGTAAATGTATCTGATCCGTAAATTTAGACCTAAAACAGAACAACATGACGTATCTCCCGCGCCAAGACTAAACCGGAAGCACCGCCTCTGCAATGAAAGTATTTTTCCCCCGAACGTAGTTCTGTCAGGTTGTCTTCGAAAATTAACAAATTAACAAGTTCTAAACCAAATCTTAACACTTGCTTCAACAATATTCTGAAATAATATATGCATATATTGTGACCAAATGTATTTACTTTTAGTGATTGAAAATTGTTTTGTTTGTTTACAATTTTTTACCTACACATTTTTTCTCACGCGCAACTGTAAATATTAAAGGCGTACTCGGTACTGTTGTTTTGTTTGTTTTATATTCTTGCAAAGCGGATAAGCACGTGTGAAATCTTCCAGTGATTATTTCATTAATCAGTTGAAATCAACAAAATTATTTATGTTTTAAATTGCTGTTGTTTAGTGAATTAGTTTTTGCCTCTAAACGACTTTGTGTTTACATTTCTGTGTATTCAGATGCACATACGCACACATATAAACGAAAATTTAGATTTATATTAATTACGCATGTATTTAATATTTTTTTACCGGCTTCTGATCTTTTGACGACACCGTTTCCATAACAACACTAAACAGAGCCAACGTTTGCACACGTCGCACACGTTCGTAGCCGGGGTTGTAAATCAGTCATTTTGAGTGTTTATTTCATTTTATATTTGTGTATTTAGTTCATACAGATACAGATACAGTGTATTGACACTATGATCCCGCTTGGAGACTCCCTGCTGAAGTACGACACCCCAGTGCTGATCAGCCACAGTTCCGGGACTAGCAGGTCTCCCAAGGTGAGTTTATAATGTTCACGTTCACTCATTTAAATGAGGAAATGTGCAAAACCTTTTGAGCCGAAATGTAGACCTGGATCTCATCTTTAAAGCTGGGGAGTCCAACTTTTTGTTAGTAGGACTAGAATGCTGAAACTTCTATCACTAGAACTCCCAGAGCAGTCCTTCCATGCTCCTATTCAAATCAATTACATTAAACTTTACCTTTACTCACTTTTAATTCGTGCTAAAACTGATATACTGTACTATATACTGTAGTATGACATGAAACATATTATTAACAGATGCAAATGTGTGTGTTGCTATGGTAACTAGCAGGTTGGTGGCTCTGGGAGAAAAAAGTTAAAAAGTTAGAGAAGAGTAATTACTCTTACAAACTGGAAGCTGTCGAATTGACTGCTCTGGATATTCTTGTAAAAAGGTTAGATGACTAACATTTTTGTCCCACTTTAAAGAGTCTTGTGATTATCAAAAACATGCTTTCTTTTGCATGTCCAATCAGCTCAAACAGCGCCTCTCAGGGCTCTTTCCTACGATAGCATATTGTCCCATAAGACGAAGACAGCATGTTATGGTCTGATTTGTTCACATCTTACCTTTACAAAATTCTTTCTGTTAGATACTCTATGTGTGCTGTAACACAAGAGATGTTGTTACAGCTTGTCCCCCCCTATGCAGGGCCGCAGTTTTCGAGTGAGTCCAGAGCAGTCTCTGGACGCCACCCCTGTCCCGCCTCCTAAACCCAAAACAGTTCCTCTAGAGCAGCAGCATGAAGAGATCCTCAATGCCATCCTTCCACCCAGGTGCAACTCTCTCACAGGGAAATACACACTCCGGTTGACACCATAGACTGCATAAAGATGTACAAGGTTAATTTGTTATTTATGATTTTGTGGCTTCCTCCTTTTTTATTTAATATTTTTAATACAAACCACAATGTTATAAAAGCTCGTCAGAAAACAATTTTTTGCCATTTTGATTTTAAAGTATTCTGTTATGTGATGTGTTATGTGATTCACCATAATATTGAATCCACACTTTACTCTTAATTTCTAGACAAAAATAATTAAATCTGCCTGTTCCATCGCCCACCTATCAACAACGTGTGGCTTGTATTTCTCAAACAAGGTATTAATATATCCTGATCTCTTGGGCATTATCTTGGGCAGCACTGTGGTTAGAACTCTCACCCCTCAGCAAGAAGGTCCTGGGTTCAAATCTTGATCGGAAAAGGGACTTTCTGATTGCAGTTTTCATGTTCTCCCTGTCCCTTTGTGGGTTTCCTCTGGGTGCCCCGGTATCCCCTACCACTAAAAGCATGTATGAAAGATAAAATCCTACAGCTCTGGTTCTGAAGAGCCCCAGTGAAGGACGGGTCAAATTCAAAAGACACATTCAATAAAAAACGTTATTCTATTTGCTTCTTTTATTTCTTTAAGTTACAAAAATGACTATGCCGGTTCTTTATAACATAATAAAACCTTGTCTTGTTCCTGCGGCAGAGAGTGGACGGAGGGCACTGATGTGTGGCTGCAGAAGGTCTCCAGTGTCCCAGGAACTCGTAAAGACGTTCTGAAGCTGGGAGAACACCTGGACTCTCTGCTGGAGAAACGTCAGGCTCGGCTCCACGGAATCTGCCCCGTGAGGAGGGAGCTGTTCTCCCAGTGCTTCGGTCTGTAGTGTCCATGTGACCAGGAACGTCTGGCACAAATTCAAAACATGTTAAACTTGACTTTGATAATTATACTGGTTTTGAAACCGCATGAATAATAATGATATTTTTACCAATTAGTTTGCAATATTACAACACAAAATACATTGCAAAAAATATTCAATTATAGTTTGAATTCCTAACCTATCTTTAACACTTGACTATATTTTCCCCAGTGTAAGATAAAGTTTGTCATATATTTTGTTCATTAAATGCTCTGTACGCCATGACGAAGACTATGAGCTTATAGAAAGAGCTTTGTCTTATCTCCTGTCAAATAGAGCTCTTTACAACTGTGTGTCTATATTTGAATATAAAATAATATTCTGTAACATAGTTTTCCCACTTCTACCACTGGGTGGCAGTGTTGCTCATCCTACCCATCTCTTCTTATAGTATACTTTGTCCATATATTTTCTGTTCAATTTCCCATTCTAAGACGTGACAAAATACCGCTGTTTGTCGAATTTGAGTGCTTGTTTGTGTTCTAGACGAGCTGATCCGACAGGCCACTGTGAGCTGTGCAGAGCAGGGCCTGCTGCTGGGACGGGTCCGGGACGAGATCAACATGACACTGGCCACGTACCGGAGCATCTACGAGAGCAGCATGGCGTTCGGCATGAGGAAAGTTCTGCAGGCAGAGCGGAGCCAGGACGACACCCACACCAGAGTATGATACTGAGGCAACAGAGACCAGAGAGAGACCAGAGAGAGACCAGAGAGGGACCAGAGAGGGACCAGAGAGAGACCAGAGAGAGACCAGAGAGAGACCAGAGAGGGACCAGAGAGGGACCAGAGAGAGACCAGAGAGAGACCAGAGAGAGACCAGAGAGAGACCAGAGAGGGACCAGAGAGGGACCAGAAAGGGACCAGAGAGGGACCAGAGAGGGACCAGAGAGGGACCAGAGAGAGACCAGAGAGAGACCAGAGGGAGATCAGAGAGAGATCAGAGAGAGACCAGAGAGAGACCAGAGAGAGACCAGATAGAGACCAGAAAGCTCCCATGGCTGTAGATCCAGGACTGAGGCTGTAGAGTCAAGACTATATAATCCTATATCTTGCTGATCTTGTCCCAGTCCTGTATAACGGTCTCCTGCTGGTTCTGTCCCAGTCCTGTATAACGGTCTCCTGCTGGTCACAGGTCGCTGAACTAGAGAGGGAGAAGCTGGACCTGGTGAAGCAGTTGAATGAGGAAAAGGCCAAGTGTGAGGCGGTGGAGAAGAAGGAGACTGAGCGGAGGAAGGTAGAGGAGCGGAAACACGCAGAGGAGATCCAGGATCTCAAGAGGAGGAACGAACAGCTCAAGGTGAGTCTGTTTGGTTATGCTTTCCCACAGAGCTGTTGTGCTGTTTTGAAGACAGCTGATGACATCCATCTTTAAAATGAATATAGTTATTCATTTACCAGTTTTTTACTGGTTTACATTTTGAAAGTTGCTTGGTGTTCTGTTCCACACATATTGGGCCTCATTTATGAAACTCGCGTACGGCCAAATCAGGGTGTATGTACGTACGCAAAACATTTACACTTTTTGGCATTTATCAATCTGGACGTGGGCGTACGGTATGCACAAAATACATGCAGAGTCTGGAGGTACATTTTACACCCATCTCAATCTACATCTTAACAAATAACACGCATGAAATTCAAGATTTGGACAACAATAAACATATTCCCACAATGATTATAGGCACACCTCTCACATTACAAATATGCAGTTTTACGAAGTCATGTTAGGGCTAGTTTGTGTTAATAAATAACGTGCAAGATGTCAAACTCAAAAGTCTCCCACAAATGTGTGGATTATTTGTGTAGCACCCAAGGGCGTAGGTTTGCGTGGGGACCATGGGGACATGTCCCCACCAATATTTGGTGAGGACTAAAAAGTCCCCACCAAAATGACATGATGTCCCGTGACCCGGACGGTCCGGGACACATGTCTTCCGTTTGTGCATACGTCGCGCCTCCTCCTCGCCTCCAGAGCATCAGCAGCAGCAGCAGCACGTGACCCGTTCCGTTCTCTGCAGTGATTGGCTGTCTTCTTCAGCGCCAAACTGAAGCACTGAGCAACTGTTTAATTTTTAAAAGTTAGCCAGCGTGAAGCAAGTGTTTTTTTTCATTCCCTGAGCGTTGTAGCACGTGAGTAATCAGAGGAAAGTACTGTAGATCTATTACCATTCAAAGTACTTACGTTATTTCTAATCTGTCAGCGCACTGTTTAATGTTCCGAGGAGCTCACACGGCACAGAGACAGAACAGAACTGGCTCCAATAAAGAAACAGGTGAAAGGCTGAAAAAATACTTATTGTGCTCTTACTATCCAAAATGTATAAGTGGGTGTGTTGTGTGAATCAGGATAAACTAGGGATGAAAATATTCCACGGATCCACGATTCACAACCTTTATCTGCCGATAATGTAATTTCTGTGAAATGTGTGACAGCGGGCACTTGCTGTTATTCACTCAAAGCACATTCAAGCGATGAACTCGAATGTGCACGTCCTGGTGCAGCTGCTGCCGCTTTGTAATGACAGCCGCGGCGCTCAGTGAAAGCACAGCTCTAACATGGTACCGAGCTCGGACCATATGCAGACAGAACCATGTTGCAAGTGCGGGTCTCCCTCGTATCTCCCCCGTTTCTCCCCTGTGTCTCTGACATGTCTCTCCCCTGACTCTTCCCAAAGCGCAACCAGCGCTCCCGAAATTAAAGCTCGGATACCTAAATTTTCCATTGCGTTAACGATGCATGCTGGTTGTGCGCAAAACACACCACAACAGGTCATTTAAGTTTTTATTTTGCATACTTGAGAGCCCTGTGAGTCATTACTTGCCTTTTTGGGTTGAGAGTGGAATAAAAAAAAGAAAATATAGAAAAATCCACACTGTTACTTATTGCCAAACTCTTGTTAACTCATTGTATTGAGAAATACTATGTAACTTTTGACATTGGCCAAGTTATATAAATGATTCTGCAGTTCATGTATATGAATGTCTGTTTTTGATTGTCTATACCTTCTTATATAATTTTGAAAAAATGCCACCTCCACAAAAAAAGATAAAACATATCAGGAGCTTTAACAGTTGGAAAGTAAGTAAGAGAAAGCACAAGTAATAGCAAATTATGAATTGTGATGATTAATCTTCTGTTAACATACATAGGAAACTCAACCACCAAGAGAGAACAATATAGGGAATGTTGAGGTAGAAGCAACAGGCCCTTCAGTGCATCAGGCGAGGTTGGAATTTTGTAGGTATGCATGGGACTATGAATTGTTTTTAGAGATTGATCATATATGTCAAACAATGTAGTGAGCTACTCACTGTAGATTCTAATTCAATATTTTCTCCTCTGCTTTTATTACTGCTTCTCATTCAGTCTACAGCTGAGTTTAGTATAGAAGGCAACACACTATTGCAAATATAGTGTGTGATTACACAACAAATTCTGGGGGAGAAACTCTGGACCCCGTGTCAATGGGTGTAGACTCAGGTCGTAGTGAATGTCCCCACCAAGATTGGAACCAAACCTACACCATTGGTAGCACCTAAATCAGTCATGCGGGTCCAAGCAAAGACGCGCGCCACCGTGGAGCGCTGCGTGGGTCTGATCAGAGGAAGATGGCTCTGGGACAGGCAGGGGGTACACTCTGGTACCTCCCGGTATAAGTGTGCCACATGGTCCTGGCTCGGTTCTCCACAACAGGCTCAGGACCACAGTGTGCCACTGGTGGAGCAGCCATGGATGGGAGACCATGGCCAGCACCGCCTTCGGCCTGTACAGCTCAGACAGGCTCTCATTCAACCATTTTAAAATAATAATCACATACATTATTTGAAGATAATTGTATTTCTTAATATTTTCTTTTGGATGCTTTGGTCTGGCGCTCCTCCCCCTGGGCTGCAGAGCACTTCTTGTAAGAGCTGCTAAACACCTTTTTGTTGCCATTTTAAGGTTGCTCCATTTTTTTTTTCACCTATTATTCATAAATGAATAAATTCTAACTATTGGCCTAATATATCTGTCAACTGTTTGACATAATGTAGCGTATATTTCTTCAAACATGAATAAACTCACCTCTTCAGGAGTGCCCCCACGCTGTTTACAGATGTTGTCATCTTTCCATATTTTCTTTTTTGAGCCTTGATGCCACTTTTGAGGCTTCCAATTATTTATTTATTTTTCCACTTCGTTCAGAATGGTCTCAATATCCTGCTCCATGAAGTGTTTTTTCTTTGTTGTTGCCTCGTGAAACAGGCAGTTGCTGCATATTTCTACAGTATGCCTGACTTTTATAAATATGTTCGCTTTCAGCCTCAGCATTTATCAACAGCCGCAGGTACGTACGCTTATATCTGGGCGGATCTCGCACGTTCATAAATCCTGCGTTGGCTCCTGCGTAGTTGGAATATACACCCAAAATATACACCCTTTTCTGCGCAAGTTTCATAAATGAGGGCCATTGTTTCTGTCTCTTTCTTTTAAGATAAGTTTGGAGTGGAGGATGTTTCACATGCTCAGGAGAAACAGATGCAAACATAATAATATTGATTCTTTTTTTTTTCAGACACAACTGAAGGGAATCGTCACAGCAAAGCAGTGACAGAGTATTCACCAAAGATCACAGAGAGAGACACCAAATAAACAAAACAAAAATAAAGAGAAAAAAAATGATTTTCACAGGTTTGAATATTTTTATATAATCTGTGCACTCTGGGCAGTGACCCCAACGCTGGTGGAATGGTTAAAGGCAGATCGCTAGAACAAAATCCGAAATATCGGTCCAGAAATACAGTGTTAGGAACAGCAAAGATACTGATACTCAAGCCCCCTGGACCCGAGCAGAGGGATAACTGCCCTGTGCTAATATATATATATATATAGATCTTTACAACTGTGTGTATATATATATATATATATATATATATATATATATATATATATATATATATATATATATATATATATATATATATATATATATATATATATATATATATATATATATATATATATATATATATATATATATATATATATATATATATATATATATATATATATATATATATATATATATATATATATATATATATATATATATATATATATATATATATATATATAATTAGTATTCATATCAACCCTTAAAATAGACCTATAGAATCATAGAAACTTCATATAACTTCCCTAATATTGATTTGAAATGTTACATTTGTTTAAATGACATGAGTCTGATGTACGACAAAGACAGTTTTTTTTTTTTCATTTTCAAGTAGAGTACTAGAAATGTTACACTTTAATACATCTTCAACCACTTACCAAAAAAGTCCGTTTCTGATGACCCATATGGCAGGGCAGAAATCTATGACTTTTGGTTGATTACTAATTTCGCAAATATATGTCGTCATAATTGAAGCCAATGGGTCATTTATGATCGGCGAGATAGAAGGTTAACCCCGAGTTAACCCCATGGGTCGCTTAACCCGCGGTCTGGCTCCTGGCCGGTGAGAGGCGGTAGTGCACCTTTGAAACTGGTATCTCCAACATTGATAAACAACAAGAAATAATCCCAGGAACAAGGGATTAAAGGCACCGGAGCGCACAGGTTGGAGACTCAGACGTAAGTAAAAGTATTTAAACCCCATGAAGACAGCGACCCACACGGTTGAAAACGAATGGTCTGAGCCATTCCCAGTCTAATCCAAGTCCGAGGCGAATGCTAGTCCATACTGCAGTCCCAGTCCGAGGCTAATGCTAACGCTAGTCCATACTGCAGTCCCAGTCCGAGGCTAATGCTAACGCTAGTCCATACTGCAGTCCCAGTCCGAGGCTAATGCTAACGCTAGTCCATACTGCAGTCCGAGGCTAATGCTAACGCTAGTCCATACTGCAGTCCCAGTCCGAGGCTAATGCTAACGCTAGTCCATACTGCAGTCCCAGTCCGAGGCTAATGCTAACGCTAGTCCATACTGCAGTCCCAGTCCGAGGCTAATGCTAACGCTAGTCCATACTGCAGTCCCAGTCCGAGGCTAATGCTAACGCTAGTCCATACTGCAGTCCGAGGCTAATGCTAACGCTAGTCCATACTGCAGTCCCAGTCCGAGGCTAATGCTAACGCTAGTCCATACTGCAGTCTCAGTCTGAGGCTAATGCTAACGCTAGTCCATACTGCAGTCTCAGTCTGAGGCTAATGCTAACGCTAGTTCGAGGCTAATGCTAATCCACCTCCGTGAAATTGGCCCCTCATTGATCGCGCACGCCCATAAGTGTTTGTGCTCAGTTTGTGCAGTAAAAACATTTCGCTTCTATTGAACTCAAATGAGTCAACATGTTGTCAATCGATTCAAGTAGTGTGAGTGAGTGTGGTCCTGTTTCTAAAAGCTGACCTTGAGTTGTGACAGAGCCCTAAAATACACGCATGAGAAAGCTAGTGATAGAAGCGAACTGAGCCAGGAACTAGAGATTCTCCGCAGTTACAAATCTGCAGCGGGACAGCCCCTCCTTACGCCTGTAATAATAATCTTTATTTGTATAGCACTTTCCAAAATGCATTCTGCATAGTCAGAATAAAAAATTAAAGACAAACTTTTATAATGTATATTTTTTAAACGAATACAGGAAAACAACGCAGATGGGGCACAGAAGACATACCCAAGACAAGAGCGACCAGCGAGAGACAAGAGAACAAATGTAGAAAAGTAAAGCATAGGGCACAAGCAGAAAGACAAAACAAAGACAAGGTTGAACAGTTAAATTGTATTTTTTATTGTTATTAATATTATTTTAGAATTGATTGATTGATTGGATGTATTTCAAGCGTATAAACAGGAATCAATTATATAATTAATCATAATTACATATTATACATGATAGAAACATACATACGTACATACATCAAAGGGTTTCCCTTTTTCCCCCCTTCCTGTTAAAGCTCAAAAAGGAGAGGGGCGACAGTAGCTCAGTTGGTAGAGCATTGGCCTTAAGGCCAGAAGGTCGTGGGTTCAATTCCCACCTCTGCACCTTCTCCACCGACTCCCACTGATGACTGCTGTCGTTGTGTCCTTGGGCAAGACACTTAACCCCACTTTGCCCAAAGCCCCCGCTGAAAAGATCAAGGCTATGCTCACACTCAGAGAGCAGCCGTCCTCCTGTGGACTCACCACCTGCAGAGGATCAGTGAGGGGCTGGTGCTATGAGACTTGGGTGGCATCTATGACTGCCACCCCCCTGACCCAGAAATGGATTAAAGGGTAGAAAATGGATAGATGGATGGACGATAAAGCCGAAACGTCATAAATAAATATGATTTTGGACATCTGCGCATTCAATGCTACTATTTTTGTTCACCTCATAATTTTGTTTTGTTTTGTTTAAGGCGTTCCATAAAAGTGTCTTTTAATGATGATAAAGTGATAATCACTGCTATTGTTCGATATGTATGGGTGTGTTCACTTTGGAGCAGTGGCTCAAAATCAAACACTGCCCTAGACGCACTTTGGAGGTGCTGCTGTGCCTTTGGCTGCTGCGACCCTACAGACTCTAGGGGTCGAGCTGGAAAGAAGAAAACGACATGGAGAGATGAGTTATGTTCATAAAAGCAAGTACGATGCTAATTTTAATTATTTATGGAAAGTAAATATTTCAATATACATCGTTCTTTACCCCAGTAATAACAGCACTCTTACTCATTACACGTAAACGTTACGTGGAGAAGATTATAGATTCTTCAGCGTTTGGTGATAGAATTGATGAAGATATAAGTATTGTATGACATTTCCTTTGTCTGTGTTTGTGGCAGATCTACAAAGTCCATCTACAGAATGGGGTTCACCTGTGATCAATGTGGAAAGACTTGTCGCTTTGCTTCCCTCCTCAAGGTCCACTACAGAACTCACACTGGAGAAAGACCGTACGAGTGTGATCTCTGTGGAAAGGGTTTTTCCACCGCCGATAGTCTGAAGAGTCACAGCAGAATCCACACGAGAGAAAAGCCCTTCAGCTGTGACGTTTGTGGTCGGCCGTTTAGACACGAGAGTGCCCTCAGAGGTCATAAGAGCATCCACACTGGAGAGAAACCGTTTGAATGTGATGAGTGTGAGAAAACATTTAGGACCAAAGGGCAGCTCTCATCACATCAACGTGTCCACAGAGAGAAACTGCACCAGTGTGACCAGTGTGAAAAGACTTTTACGCGTGTAGATCGCCTCATGGAGCATTACCGAAGCCACACAGGAGAAAAGCCGTTTGTCTGTGGAGACTGTGGGAAAAAGTTTGCTTTATTTTCAAACTATGAATGTCACCAGAGAATCCACACTGGGGAAAGGCCATTCAAATGTGACCACTGCAGTAAAACCTTCAGAACTGCAACAGACCGCACAGATCACCACCGAACCCACACCGGAGAGAAGCCTTACGAGTGTGACGTGTGTGGACACAAGTTTTCAAAAAGAGGAAATCTTAAAACTCACAAAAGAATCCACACTGGAGAAAAACCCTTCAGCTGTGATGTTTGTGATCAGAGTTTTACACAGAGATGTTCTCTCCAAGAGCATAAGAGGATCCACACAGGAGAGAAACCACTTTTTTGTGAAAAGTGTGGTTTGGCTTTTCGATATGGGTCAAATCATCGGCGGCACATTCAAACCTGTGGAGAACTGTCTGAAGACTCAACAGCTGAGTTGTTGCTGCCTCTTGGTCCAGCAAATTTGGTTTAAACACTATTTTTTTGATTCTGCCAATGCTTTTATGTGATACAAAGCATCGTACTTCAGCTGATTTCATCTTTCAACTCGGCACAGGTTTATCCACACACAGGTGAGAGGAAGGTTATCAAAAAACACACGCTCTGCAAACAGAACAGACTAGTTTATATTTTATTATTCATTCATATAAAACCATTAGGAAGCAGCTTGTGCTTTTGTTGTGTGCAAAGCATTAGCACCACAGCTGCGCTAACGTGCAGGTGTTGTCTTCATGCTCTGAAGTGGTGTCCTCCCACAATCTACCCCATCTTTGTTTTGTTCATACAAACAGGATATTAGCTATTTGCACACAATAACTGTGTTAAACATACTTAAGAATAATATTATAGATTCTCAAATCAATGCATATATTTACTTTTTATTTATTTATTTATTTTGTTAAATTTTTCTTTCTTTGCACAAATTGTTTGCACAAATTGTTTCACTTTTTAAAGCTCTCTGATTAAGTAGATGACAAATGCCCTAGAATAGGGTCTAAAATCTAAATGAACCCGGGCTGGTCAAGTCAGGAAAAAATATATTTAGGGGATTTTTTTAATCACTGTGGTGGGCTAATTTGACCCGAGGATAGCACAAGTGTTAAATGTGATCTTTTATGTTGACTGACTCACCAGTCACCAGATGTTGGCCATCTCACCAGTTACATTAGTGTCAAAGGAATTTGAGACACTTTGTATGAACTGACATATGTCAGCTTATACAAATAAACGGTTGGATTTCATAGGTGGAGGGCATTATTGACAATATTGGCTGATTACGTTTTTTGTGTTGGTGGCAGAGGGCCAGATAAAATCACACAGTGGGCCGCATTTACCTCACGGGCCTCAGTTTGGACACTCCTAGTCTCGTCACAGAATAGAGCTGCCACGTTAAAGCTGAATTACCTCACTATTTTTTTGTATTCATTACAATAATTCAATCCATATCCCACGCAGTGCATTGGGATATACGTCCTTTTGAAGAATAAGTAGTGCAGATTTGTGCTGGCGTGTCATTTTATTTTAGATAGAATTTTTGTGCAACAAGGGAAAAAAATGTTTTGGGACCAGATTGTGACCAATCAAGGCGGACCATTGGCCCCCACTTTCTTGACAAAATCTACAGGTCTCGCACAGGCAGCTGAGCATCATGGTGGAGGCTGACCTGAAGCAGAAAGAGCGAGGGCAGTGCTTACATTTGAAACTGCTGCTTCGAAGTCCCAAAGTGAGTTAGTCTAGCTTTTACCAGTACCAGGTACCTTCTTTAGTCCCTCTGGGTCCTGGTTTCTTTCCAGGCCGAACTGGTACTAAAGTGTTCTAACTGACAGAACAGACTGAGTGCTTCTGGGAGTCATAGTTACCAAGTAATATCCACAGATACTGTTTTTTTTTTTTTGTGGGTAGGTTGCTAGGATATGGTACCAAATACTGACATGTAATGGAAACAAAGAGCAAGGTGGAGTCCGGTGGCTGGAAACTGGGCTCACTTTGTCTCTCAGAAAGAAGGTTTGAATCCCAGTTGGAACAGGGCCTTTGTTGAACAGAGACCCCGTCACTGTGCTTACTCGATGTTAATAACTGACGAGTAAAACAACATATTTTGAGGCTCAATATTTATTGTCTGTACATTGTAGGTTCTGGTTTGTTCCTTTTTGTAAAACAATGAGGTTTTATTCTGCTGTTTGTTTTGGGCCATGCCTCGTTATTAAAATGGCAAACCTGCTTCACTGGGATTGGCCTGCTTTATTGTCAATGATATATTGTGTCAATGATATAAAGTAGTGTCAATGTTGTTGCAGGAGTCTTCTGGTGTTTTTCTTTTGAATAACAGTGATTTTAAAAAATAATAAATATATAAAAACTGCACCAGGGCTGTTCCATTCAAAGGGTCATGTGGCTGCAGCTTCTCATTCCAACCAAGCAGGAGCACTCCAGACTCCATTTCCTGAGTGAATCCAGTCTGAACCTGAAGATGAGAAGTAATTGGTTCTGGCCAGGGGAAGACCCAGGAGAGGGACTGTCTCTCAGCTGCCCGGGGAACACCTCAGGACTCCCCTGGATGATCTGGAGGAGGTGTGTGGGTGTCTACTCTCACTGCTGCCGCTGCGACACAGCAATGGATAAAGCGGAAGAAAATAGATGGAGTATGTCATCTTTTGAGTGTTTACTTTGTCAGGTTTTTCCTCCTTCCCCCGGAAACGACTGGGAGAGGTGCGACTACGGAGCCTGGTAGTGTGGTGACACAGTGGTTAGGTCTGGGTTCGTATCCCATTTGGAATAGGGTCTAAGTGGATTTTGCATTGTCTCCCTGTGTAGGATTCCTCAGTGTGCTCCAGTTTCCCCTACAACAGGGGTGCTCAATACGTCGATCGATCTACCAGTCGATCGCAAAGGTAGTATTGGTAGATCGCATTAAATAAATAAAAAAATACACATTCTAAACAAATATATACAAAAAACTCCGGGCAAAGTGGAGATTTTTGAAAACTGTTAATGCATTTGTGTGTAGACAGAGATAACCGGAGTTTTGCGTTCTCGCACGCCACAGTACCCCCCTAAATTCCTCTGATCACTGAAGCATGGATCATACTACCTTAAAAACTGTTCGCTGTGAGATGCTCGCAGCAGCGAACATCCTCCACATCAGAGAGCAGCAAAGTGATCGCGGGGACTCACGCTCGAAAACAACCAAACCAGGACTAAACCCGGACTAAACCAGGACTAAACCAGGACTAAACCAGGACTAAACCAGGACTTAACCAGGGCTGAGGACGGGGTCAGTGCTTGTAAACATACGTCTTACTCTTTACTCTGAGTGTCTTCTATGACTGTAAAAGTGCCGTTACCGGTGTAACGCCGAGATACACTGTCTTGAAGAGATGCACTGCCTCAGCTGTTTATGATGTAATGCAAACCTGCGCATGCGCGTCTCACGGCAGCCGAAGCAAACCAAGATGGCGGACCGTGAATTGCTAAAAGTTGAAATACGAACGAATCAAGACACGAATGTCACTTTTAATGCAATTTGAGGCGAGATGTTGATGGTCCCGTTTTGTCACATGTGGGTTTTAAGAGTCAAAGTTTCGTGCAAAGTTTAGTTTAAGCAGTCAACTGCGCCTGTGAAACCACAAAGCTAATGTTTTCATAGCAGTCCGCAGCTGCTGACGTAGGCTGATGACGCGTCCTACACTGGTCTGTCGGGTTGATAATGGAAAATGGGGAAAAAAATCAATCTAATTAAATATTTTGTTTGAACACACTATTGTTAATCATATTAAATACAGTACGATACATGTATTGAATGAAATTTATTATTTCCATTATCAACCCCCCGACAGACCAGTGTAAGAGTGTAGAGTTGCCACAGGACGCGTCATCAGCCTACGTCAGCAGCCGCAGAGGCTGCTATGAAAACATTAGCTTTGTGGTTTCACAGGCGCAGTTGACTGCTTAAACTATGCTAATGCTTTGGGTTGTTGGACTCACACATGTGCCCAAGTCGTGATGAAAACAAAGAGGTAAGTTAGCGATGCAGAGCCAACCATTTACATTTGACACAAAGTATAGACACACGTACTGCAGCGCATTACTTGTTCAGTTTGTAGAACTTTTAGTGTGTGTATGTGTGCGTGTGCGTGCCTGTATGCGCGCCTGTGTGCGTGTGTCAGCGTGCCAGTGTGGCTGCGTGTGTGTGCGTGCCTGTGTGTGCCAGTGTGGGTCTGCGTGCCTGTGTGAGCCAGTGCGTGTGTGTGCGTGCGGGTGTGCATGCGTGTGTATTTTCCATTATTAATTGCCCATCGTATCATCGCCCTCTTCCCTTTAGTGTAAACACGAAAAGAAAAGGAGGAAACATTGCCTACAGGCCTTTTTTTGTTAGGAAAAGGCCTGTAGATAAGGATGATGAAACCTCACCTGAAGGTCAGACTCGGAGGCAGTATGTTTTGAGATGGTGAGGAATTTGTTGTGTTGTATTAAATTATAGCTTATATAATTGAGTTTCAGAGAATGAGAGGGTGTCGCAGACAGGTGCAGGATTGTCTATTGGCAGCAGGCGTTTTTTCACACAAAAAAAGTAACAAAATAGCTAAGATTGTGGATGATGTGCAGTCGCTTGACCCCAAAATATTTTTGAAAGAAGAACCCCTGTTTTCATTTGGCAGAACCTTTGAGTCAGATATGTGTGGCCCTTGCATGTGACGTCCCGGCCACGCCCACTCTCCATGACAGACGGCAGAAGTCTAACTGGAGCCTACGGACACCTGACCAAAACAACCTGTTTCAGCGCATTACAGCCAAAACTGTGACATTTTGCAGTGCGGTTGATTATACTAACAGGCAAGGACATAAGCTTTTTTATCTGATACCTGCTCGTCATGAAGACAGAAGACGACGATGGCGGCAATCAACCAAAAGGACACTTTTTACAAGATAAAATAAATACAAACTTGTGATTGCTTTTGGAGGACAATGACACACGTCAAACGTGTCTCTTACTACTGTCCTGTATGTGCAATGCAACATTGACATTTTTATGTACGGCACGGTGGCTGAGTGGATAGCACTCTCGCCTCTCAGCAAGAAGGTCCTGGGTTCGAATCCCAGTCGGACCAGGGCCTTTCTGAGTGGAGTTTGCATGTTCTCCCCGTGTCTGCGTAGGTTTCCTCCGGGTACTCCGGTTTCCCCTACCACTAAAAATATGTCCAATAGTTCTGGCATGCGCCTCCTGTACTGGCGACCCCGCTCCCATCTCTGTGTGGAGTGAGAGACAAATGCCCAAAAATTAACAATTGTAAACCGCTTTGAGACTCAGATCTGCAGTGAAAAGGCGGTATATAAATAAAGATTACTTACTACTACTACTTTTATCTTTTAAGTCAAAGCGTGTTTCACTATTTTCCTCTCCGTCAGTACGTATCATGTTTGGCTGTAGACAGAAAAGCCACAGAAAAGTGGACTATTGCTAATGCTACCAGAAAAATGTACATATAAATCTGCTCCAGTGTGAGGGGATGCATTGTTAACGATAATGATAAAGATCATGTAGGGTGAATTTGGGCAAAAATAGACATTTTATTTAATCGATAAAATTGACTGGGGGGAGAAGGTACGGGTCAACATCCAGTTAGGCAATCTTTAACTTCTCCAAATACCACTCTTTGTGAGCCCTGACCTTCTCGATTTAAGAGAGGAAGCTCCGTTTTTAAGAGTTGTGTCCGTTTTGCTCTCGCAGCAATGCTAGTTTCCAATACTTCCGCCGTAAGCTCATTCACAATCACGTGACTGGATGACGTTGATGCATCTGGTCAATAGAGGACCTTAAGCATGAAGTACGTCAAACTAGGCGGCTTCTTGGGAGGAAAAAATGGATTAGAGAGTCCCTATTGGACTTCCTTGTCCTTTTGGAACGTTTGGAAAGTGTTTCATGAGCTTTTGAGGCTTGCAAAGATCTTTTTAATACCTGTCAGTACTGCGTCTTGTGAAAGAAGTTTCTCTGCCCTAAAAACCATCTCAGAACTATGGCAGATGATTGAGTCATCTTGGAATCCTCAGTGTAGAGTCAAGGAGGGCTGAATATGGATGAGTTTGTCAACATCTTTGCTGCTTTACACCAGAACCGCAGGAATTTGCTAAATTTGTTAAAAGAAAAATGTAATGCAATGTTTGAATTATGTTATTTTGCACTTTTTTGTTCAGACTACTATTTAAATACACTTTTTTGCTTTGTAGTTTCCAAGTGTGCTCTCAGTTCACTTTATATTAAAAATAATGACAAGATTAAGATTAAAATGTATCGTTTAGCCAATTTTTGTGTGAAATAAAATTTCGGAATAGTATAAATGTGGACCCCTTAAATAAACCCTTGCCACCCCCTGGCCACCCTCTGTTTAAAAGTCTGTTAAAAAGTCTGTCTCCGCCACTGATTAAAAGGCCATGTCCCACATACAATTGTCATCAAGAGCCATTTATTGGGAGCTACAAAATTCTCAGATGGCGCGCTCTCTCCTCGCGGCCTTTGTCTACACGGTCTTTGTCGACGCGCTCCTGCACCTGCTGCACCATTGAAGTCTAGTGGTTCATTTTGGCACAGATGACGAATGAGTGCAGCTAAAAGCGCCGCCTCAGATGGAGTCAGAGGCTCAAGTCCAGCTCCTCGCTCCTAAGCGTTCCCCTTAAGAGTTCCTTTCCTGCCAGATAAGGAAGACACTGGAGGATCCCCTCTTTCCCTGAACAGAATGAAATGTGAGTTTAGAAGATATAAGAATATGGGGCCTTAGAGGCCATGGAGTCTATCTTAGGAGTGCACTGACCGAGTGTGACATCACCAGTGTTAGCCTTAATGCAGAAGAACCTTATTTGAACATAACCTAGCTGGAACCAGTTTCCCTATATGGGCATTTCTTCTGCTGCGTTAGCTTCTCGCCATAACAGCATGGATCTATAATAATAGCATAACAGGGGCAGATGTGTTGCTAAGGCAAGCTGTAGTTTTCCCTGTGAATTAAGGCATCTGATTGGTCAATCCTTATATGACTCATGGAGGTCTGTCCCAGCCTTGTCTCACCCTTCTACTGCCTTTCCCATGTCCCAAGGTTGTCTGACGTGACGTCTCAGTGCAACTCAATGGGGTGCGATGTATTCATGATCAGAAGTTAAATGTGAACGAATGTTAAAGTGAACTGAACAAAGAAACCATGAAATAAATGTATTTTGTTGTAACTTCTGTATCAGCCTCTGTCTTAACACTACAAACCTACGTGCTTTATTTTAAATGAGTGTGCTCCGAGCTCGAGTTAATAATACTTACTGTGTTCCAACAAAATACCACCCCCAGAACAGGCAGAATCCAGTAAAACCAGTTTGACAATCCGGCCCCTGGACAAGTCTGGTGAACTAAAGTGGCCGTGACTAAATGCATAGAAATGGGGCTTAGATGAGTCTCGTTCTGTGATCAAACATGGCTGGCAGTCAATGAGAACCTCTTACATACAATTACAGATTCTAAAACAGTCACATAGAATTTCATAAAATTACTGATTATAAAACTAGACACATTTCACTGAAGATGTCTCAAGTGCTCTCAATCTGGATCTGAAATCATTCAATGAAATATAGTCAGATCATTTCCAGTATTTTTGCAACACGTTCCATGTAGAAGGAGCAGCAGATACAAAAGCTTCGTTAGGAATGAAACCTCTGCCTTGTTTTTGATGAATACTTGGGCTTATTTCGCTACTGTGTGG